CAAAGAACTTATATGCAGACCCATGGACATGAACTAAGAGTGGTGGATTGCTGAAGGGAATGGGGGATGCTGGAAGTGGGGGGGGCAGGGGGGTGAAGGGTGGGAAACTGGGACAACTGTAATAGCACAATCAGTAAAATATATTTTTTAAAAAATAAAAGAAAAAGAAAAAGAAAGTTACACAGTTTGCACTCTCATTACCAGTGTATGACAGTGCCCATTTCTTTCTAAGTGTAGATATTATGTTTTTTGCCAATGTATTTGGTGAAAATGGTGTAAATAAGACTGAAAATAGTGTTGGGAGAACTGGACAGCTACATACAAAAAATTGAAATTGGATCATCAGCTGACACCATACACAAAAATAAACTCAAGATGGATAAAAGACTTAAATATAAGTCGCAACACCATAAAAGTCCTAGAGGAGAACATTGGTGGGAAACTCTCAGATATCCCACACAGCAATTTTTTCACCAATATGTCTCCTAAAGCAAGGGACATAAAAGAAAGAATAAACAAGTGGGACCTCATCAAAATAAGAAACTTCTGCACGGCTAAAGAAAACATCAGCAAAATGAAAAGGGAGCCAAACCTATGGGAAAATATATTTGCTAATGATACATCAGATAGAGGTTTGATCTCCAAAATATATAAAGGACTCACTCAACTCCACTGCAAGAAGACAAATGATCCAATCAAAAAATGGGCAAAGGACCTGGGCAGATGCTTTTCCAAGGAAGAGATACAGAGGGCCCAGGGACATTTGAAAGGATGCTCAGCATCACTAGACATCAGAGAAATGCAGATCAAAACCACCATGAGGTACCACCTCACACCAGTCAGAATGGCCATCATAAACAAATCGACAAACAGGTGCTGGCGAGGCTGTGGAGAAAAGGGAACCCTAGTACACTGTTGGCAGGAATGCAGACTGGTGCAGCCCTTGTGGAAAGCTGTGTGGAATTTCCTCAAAAAGCTGAAAATGGAGCTGCCTTTTGATCCTGTGATTCCCCTGCTGGGACTATACCCTAAGAATCCCAAAATGCCAATTCAAAAGAACCTATGCACCCCAATGTTCATAGCAGCACAACTTACAATAGCCAAGTGTTGGAAGCAACCTAAATGCCCATCGGTAGATGATTGGATCAAAAAATATGGTACATTTACACAATGGAATACTACGCAGCAGGAAAAAAAAGAACTACTACACTTCGCGACAGCATGAATGGAACTAGAGAGCATTATGCTAAGCGAAATAAGCCAGGGGGTGAAAGACAAATACCACATGATCTCACCTATAAGCGGGACCTAACCAACAAAACAAAGATGCAAGGAAAATAAGACCAGCAACACTGAAAGGAAAAGAAACCAACAGAGACAAGAGGGAAGGAGGGAGGGGTGGGTGGGGGAAAAGGAAGGGAAGGGGCAAGTCAAGGAACTCATGGACAAAACCAAAGTGGGGAAGGACTGAGGGAGGGAGAAGGAGGAGGGGGGAGGGGAAAATGGTGGGGGAAAGGCAGAGACAAATGTATTTGGAAAAATAAATTAATTTTTTTAAAAAAATGAAAATAGTAATTAGCTGATTTGACTTTGACTCATGGCTTTCTAGAAATGTCTGTGTTCGAATCAAAATTTTCTTACATTTTTTTAGGAAAAGATTTTTTCCGTAAACAAATCTTTAGCTATGAGTGTCATAAGTCAGTGATGTTATTGCTGAAGTTCTAACTGTTTCAGTGACTGTACACTGTGTATTTCTTTTTTTTTTTTTTTACACCATGAATTGAATCCAGAAGGTTCTCAGGTGCAGTCAAAATTGTTATAGGACCAGCCCTGGCTGTTATGGCTCAGTTGATTGAAGCATTGTCCCAAACACCAAAAGGTTGGGGGTTCGATTCCTGGTCAGGACACATGATTAAGTTGCGGGTTTGATCCTTAGCAGGGGCCTATATGAGAGGCAACAGATCAATGTTTCTCTCTCTCTCTTTTTCTCTCTCTTCCCCCCTCCCTCCCTCTCTAAAATCAATAAACATTTTTTTAAAAAAGAATTGTTATAGGACCAATGTCTCCTTTGATAATCTCTTATAAGCCCAAAATAATCTCCCTTTTGCTGAATATATGAAAAAGACAGCATACTAATTTGAACAAACCCTGAAGGTTTTCACACTTGATGGACTGTAAAGAATGGAAAAAGGGATACGATGTAAATGTAGAGAAGAGGATCATCTAGGATTATTCCTAAGAATGTGACTTGAAAAACTAGGTGAATGGAGGTGCCATTTAGTTAGAAAAGGTGAGCAATTTTGGGAGGAAGCCTGAGTGTTCAGTAATTTTGTGGAACAGTCAAACAGTCTTGCACCCCAAATTTTCCATTGTCAGAAGACGGTTGGGTATATTGGAGCTCAGAAGAAAACTTGCTCTAGAAATGTAAAAGTCAGGGCTGTTAGCTATAGGTTATATTGAACACAACAGGGTTGGAGAGGGTGGCTAGGATGTGATAGAAAAGAAAAAAAAACAGGGACCTAAGGAATATCCCCAGCTCAGGGAGAGGAGGGGCAGCTGCCAAACATGAGGTCAGCCTTCACTTCTGTGTTTCAGTCTGCCCTGGTCTCTGAAAATATGGCTTCTGGAACTCCACCCCATTCTCTAGACTGTTGGACCAGCCTGGAGAGGAGACTTGCCATTATTTCATTATTCAGTGAATGTAGTTTTAGGAGATGATAACCTATTTTAGAAACCTTATTTAGTTATATTAACCTTGTAGTCAATGCAACTTCTCAATCTTCTCAGAAGACAACTGTTAAATCAACTTATTTTAATCCAAAGATGATCAGTCTTTTATTTTTGTTAACTTATTGGATTCCCCAGTGTTTTATTACTGGCCCCCTGTTATACCTATGAAACCCTATTTCTAACACTCAGCTGATAGGTGGTCACAGGCCAGCTGCTTATCTCTCTGTGCTTGAGATTCCTTACTTGTAAATTGGAGGTGTTAATTAGTGTCTATCTCGTAAGGTTTGTGAGGAGGAGATGAGTTAATGCATGTGAAATGGCCAAAACAATGACTGGCACATCAGTACTTACTCAATGTTAGTTGTCATTATCCTCATAATCTATCAAAGTTTCTCATGATTATATCACAAACAACCTCACCTATGAGAATTTGTCATTAAGCAAACTGTGGAAAACAGAATAGGATTAAGGAAGTGGTTTGCTAAATGCAAGGAAAGCCAGTGATCCAAAAGAAAGGAAGGGTAGGATGGGGTTGAACAAAGAAGGGATGTAGGCCCTGTAGCCCCACTTCAAATAGGTTTATTCCCTTTATTTGTTTTTTATATTCTGTTTCTGGAAATGTCTTACGTGAAGATACAATTCTACTTTAGAGAATTTTAGAGATTTAGTGTAATCTTGGCCAAGCTGTCTAATGAAGGTAATGTCCTATGCCCTGCTAGCCACATTAGGTTCAACAAAGCCTTACTGAAGGCAATGTCTACTGAGTACAGAGCGCTTGCTTGTCCACTGGGGGAAAGGAATAAAACTGTTCTCTGTTCCCACTTGGTTCATGATATTATAGGTTTTCCCCCAGACAGTCTGCCCTGTGTGCTGTAACAGAGGAAGGGGACCTGTGAGGCTTCCTGGAGGAGGTGGCTTGTGAGAAGGGCAATAGGCAAAGATGAAAGGTGAGGGAGCCAAGGGTGTGAGGGAGGAGCATCCATTCTCAAGCTCCACCCTGATCAGATGACAGAGATGACACTCAAATTTCAGGCTTCACTCTGGTTTAACTGATGCACAGGGGAGGGAAAGGATAGGAAGAGCGGGCACTGACTATGCCACATAGAAGAGTTCCCCCTTTTTACCCAGGTTTTGGAGCAAGCAAGTGATATTATCAGAACTACGTTTTAGGAACATGCATGTGACACCAGCACACCTTTAATTAGTGGTGCAAGGCACTTGGCAAGTTATCACAGGAGGCACAAAGGGATAGTGAGACTCTGAATTAAAATAATCTCTAAGCAGAATTAGTTCTCAGTAATCATTTTCAACATCATTAGGGCAGGTTGGGCCTTCTTACATTTTGTTATTGCTGTATCTGAGAAATCTTTCTAAGAGAAAAAACCTATGGCACACTGCTGCCATTTGAAAGCCTGCATTTTTAAAGGGTATAATACATAGTGACAGTTTTGATGTATGCCAGTGGGTGTGGGTCCTAATACTTCACTGTTCTCTGCCTGCATAATTTAAAATGACAATTTAGCTTGTCAAATTTAAATGTGAGTGAGTTTCCTTGGATATTTATAAAACATCAAATAGAATCATGTCAGTAAATGATGGTTGGTTTTCGGGGTTTTTTTTGTTTTTTGGGGTTTTTTTTTTTACTAAATCACAGAAAGATATTTGGATGATAGTTGCTAGCAACTCACCTATAAACCGTACTTCCAGCCACGGAAAAAATGTGGCGATCCTTGGTTTTGAATGTATTTTTACCAATTAGTGAAATAATAAATAAAAGGGTATCACAAGACTCCAGCCCAAGTTGTAGTGAAAGACTGAGAGCAGGACAATGACACAACTTTTGTTTTGTTTTTTCTTCTAACGTATTAACAATCCATGGTTTCAGATTCCCGTGAGAAAGTGAAGTTATCCATGCAACTAAAGAAAGCTTTAGTCTGCTGGTTTTCAGCCCTCTGCCCAGACACCTTAAGGCCTGCCAATTTTAGAGTTTGGATATTTTTCACTTGTAGCTTTAGACACAGCCTGCACGTTTCAGTAAATATATGCCTAATAAAGTGTGTGTGATCACGAGTTTTTGTGACTCTGCTGGTGCTTCAGTACTTCAAAAGCGGGGGAGAACTCAGTCCAGGGAGAGTGCCGCAGCCTGCCCGGCAGCGTAAGCGGAGTCAGGTCTGACCTCGCCTCCAGGGGCGTCCCTCGAGTAGGTCTGTCCCGTGGGCCCCACCTCCCGGCGCCGGGCTCTGACGTCACCACCTGCGCCGCGCAGCAAAAACAGGAAGTAGGACCAAAACAAAGGAGCGGCAACCCCGGCGGACCTCCTATCTGCCTTTCTGCAGCGCACGTCTCCGCCCTGGCCGCCCACCCCGAGGAGCCATCCGACTATGTCCAATATGGAGAAACACCTGTTCAACCTAAAGTTTGCGGCCAAAGAACTGAGCAGAAGTGCCAAAAAATGCGACAAGGAGGAAAAGGCCGAAAAGGCCAAAATTAAAAAGGCCATTCAGAAGGGCAACATGGAAGTTGCGAGGATACATGCGGAAAATGCCATCCGCCAGAAAAACCAGGCGGTGAATTTCTTGAGAATGAGTGCCCGGGTCGATGCGGTCGCTGCCAGAGTCCAAACGGCGGTGACGATGGGCAAAGTGACCAAGTCAATGGCCGGAGTGGTTAAGTCGATGGATGCGACTTTGAAAACCATGAATCTGGAGAAGATCTCTGCCTTAATGGACAAATTCGAGCACCAGTTTGAGACGCTGGACGTCCAGTCGCAGCAAATGGAAGACACAATGAGCAGCACCACGACGCTTACCACTCCCCAAAACCAAGTGGATATGCTGCTCCAGGAAATGGCAGACGAGGCCGGCCTAGACCTCAACATGGAGCTGCCGCAGGGGCAGACCGGCTCCGTGGGCACAAGCGTGGCATCGGCGGAGCAGGATGAGCTATCCCAGAGACTGGCCCGCCTGCGAGACCAAGTGTGATGACAGAATCCACTCTGAGGTTCCCTGCCTGTAGCCACCTTGTGAAATGCTCTGTGTATATTAGGGAGATTATACACTAAAAACTTTGAATATGCCAGAATGCTGAAATGCTCTTAAGATGCTTCAACCTTTGGGTTTACAGTGCTCTTAGATACATTAAGAAATTCCAGGCTTTCTCCACCCTTAACTGGATTTTAAAATTCTGTATAGCTTGTGATGATGTGTATTTTTATAGCTGCCTTTTAACAAGACTAGTTAATTTGGTGTATATGACTCTCAAAAATTTGATCAAATCTCTAGGTCCCGTATGTTCAGTTTTCTGCCCGCATTATCAAAATTGAAGGGTGTCTTTAATTTAGTGTAATTGAAAATATATAAAATTGGCATGTGATGGGTAAAAATTAAAGAAGGAAATGATTGCTTTGATTACAGGGCTATCAATACCTCATTCAACTTACATAATGTACAGTGCTATTTCTGTGTATACGTGTTTTCTGCCATCAAAATGGGACTACAGTTGACTATTAATCTGTTTTCATAACTTGTATTAAAAATATCTTAGGACTTTCTTACATAATACCCTCTTACTGTTTACGTTCAATAATTTTTGTGTGTGTGGTAATTTTATAACAAAAAAAATATGCCACATCCATTTGAAAGAAAAAGTTCATTTATGTTTTTTATTTGCTAAAGTTTTTTTAAGATTTACAAGGTTTAACATATGGTATTTCTTTCAAATGAATTTCTCTAACATTTCTGGTCATTTTCCTATTTCATCACTTTAATTAGACTTCTTATAAAATATGTTGATTGGCATGGCCATCACATTACTCACTCTAACATTGCCAAAGAACTGTTGATTGGTTTGAGAAAACTCTGGGACTGTGTGTTTGTAGGTTTTCTTTTGAATTTAACAACCAAAAATAGAAATAAAATTAGAACAGCATTTAACATTCTAGTTATTTGCATTTATTATGTTCTTAAAACAACTCATTAAAAACCTTGGAGATATAAGTTGGAATGTTTTACTTAGCCATGCAGGCAGCTGGAAGTCAGGGAAGAAGGAAAGATGCAGGGCTAGGGAGCATGTTTGACCCTAGGAGCCTAGCTGTGCTGCCTTCCACCCTTCAGGAATGGCAGAGTGTATTTATGACTGAAAAGTAAAGCCTGTAGCCAAAGCTTCCTCGTAGCCTCAAAACACGAAAAACAGCTGTTTGCTTTTGTGTTGGCAGGTATGTTAATCTAAGTTAATTACTTGTGAGTATTTTAAATTCCCCTTTTCCTTGCTGGAGGATTTCTCCATAAGAGAATTCCAGTGTTCCAGCAAGTAATTATATGGACTCTTCCAGGCCCTTTGAAAGATTCACCATTATAACATGTTTTTCAGTGTGAATGAGTATGTTAGGGTGTGGAAACGTGCAGATGAGAACTCACCCTCATATTTAAGTATCTATCTCACTGGTGGTTGTTCTAAAGTCTTGTGTAAGGGACACTTATCCATTGTCTGCCCCACATCTTTCTAGAACTTCCTCCTTTTGGTGCCTCTCATCCACGTGACTGCACAGAAGCTGCTGTGTGAGTACAGCAAGACTGGAAAAAATAATTGAAACTTTGAAAATAGCTTAGTGTTGAATCCTTTCATAAATTGAACACCCTTTTATAATACAAATACACCCAACAATATTAATATATTTTGTGAGATTAAATAATGCTTGAATAAGCTTGAACTTTCTTAAAATATGTTCATTTCAAACTATATAAATGTACGTTTTTAGGAACCATATTATTTCAAAAGCATATTAGACCCATGAAATATTTCATTTTTACAGTTGATGAAATGCTGAAATGTAAACCACAGAAATTTGTCAAATAAATCATTTAAAATTGCATGTTAATGCATATGAGTGTGCATCCTGTTTTAAGAGCTAATTAAGAAAAATAATTCAGAGGTAGGTTTGGTTCAGAAAGCATGGTATATTTCCAAGCTCATCCTTACCACCTGAATTTCTGTTCAGTTAGCATGGAGTTTTCATGCACAATTCTAGAAGCCCTAGCTATTACCTCTTTACTATGATAGTTTCTTCAAGGCAACAAGATTCTTCCTCTTTGAAACTTCCCCAGACTACAGATAAATATAATTTTCAAAAGGATCCAACTCAAACATACCAAGGAAATAAATAGTTAATCATCCATGCAACTACTAGTACAGTTTGTACTTACTTCATTTTCCTGCCTTCAAATGTACAGTTCCTAACATGGACTTAGAATAAACTTTTAGTTCATTTTAGGAACTATTTATTTCAGTTCAGATGATATGTGCTCTATTGGAGAACTTTCTTACTAAAGCTTTTTCTTCTTGAAGGAATCTTAATGCATGTGTGTGCCTTTTAAATAGAGACATACAATGAGTCTTGGATGCTGTGCACTTACTCAACTCTTTTGGATAAGAGCCACCTAAAATAAGCATCACTTTGATAACCTTACTAATTGAATATAGTCTCAGGGTCATCCAGATATTCTCAACATTGTGAAGCCAAAATGAGGGATCTTCTGTTATAGATCCCTCCTTTGCAATATGCACAACACCCTCTTTGAGGTATTTCTGTAGCCAAAATACAAAGCTCAAGACTTTGAGTACTATTGACAAAAAGCCACAAGCCAGTGGACATTGAAAAAACTGAAGAGCAAGCCCCTGTCATTTTTTTTTTCTTAATGGGTATTAGCAAAATGCCTGCCTGGTTTACCTAGGTTCATTTTTCTACAATTAGATGTTAAGTTCCGTAAGGAGCCTGACTGACAGTGCATGCCTTGGTCACGATTTCTGGGCCTATTGTCCCCAGCTCAGTGGGCTCCTGCCAGTGTCCTCGGTGTGAATGCATACCTCCCTAAGCTATTTAAAAGCTATTTAAGAAAAATAATTCAGAGATAAGTTCATGCCTAAGGCTCCCTAGTGACAATGTACACAGTAGGTAAGGTAGGTGCAGTAGGAACATGGCCAGAACCCCATTATAGTCCCTTGGAATACTGTGTCCTTTTCCTTCATAGCACCTCTCCAAATTGAAATGTTTGCTCCTGCCCTTCAGAGTTTATACATACTCCCTCCTTCTAAATAGTGTCAGGACAAACCAGCAGTGTTTATTTAGAGTGACTGATTAAAAAAAAAAAAAAAGATTTAGGCTAAAGTATATCAGGTGCTGGCTATCTTGGGTTTCTTTCTAGAAATCAAAGACATGCTTCTGCCTTAAGTGGTACTCAATAGTTAGGTAGATAAGGAATACACACTAAGAGGAAAAATGGTCATGAGTGCATGCAGATGTAAAAAAGCCAGATGAACACAAGAGTAGTGTACTTTATACACTTCATGTATTTTATACCTCAACTTTTAAAAAGGTTAAATCACAGTATAAGGCAGTATACCATGCTAATCAAGTCATGAAATTGTAAGTACATGAATAGAATTACAGTATCCATGGTTGTTAGAATTGGATTTAACCTGGGGCTTCAAAGAAAAACAAGTGGGAATTAAAGGTCTGGCGCCAAAAACTACATGGGATTTGGCTGGAGCGGAGGGTTTGACCACAAAAAGAGTGAAGAAGAGGTAGGGCAGGTTGTGGATGGCTTGGAAGCCAGATTAAAAGTGTGGACTTTACCCTAAGGAAAGGAGCAGGAGCATGAATTGCAGAAACTACATTGTCCAGATGAAAGGAAATTAGAGCCAAGAGTTGGATGGCAGTAAAAATGGAGAGGAAAAGACATAATGCTTCTCAATCTGATGTGTGCATGAGCCACTGCTTTACCTGGGGATATGGTTCAGCTGCAAATCCTGATTTCCAAGGTCTGCATATGCTGCTGCAGCACCCTTTAAGTGTTACCAGACTAAAACGGTCCATTTGCCTGCATGTATCAGGGCCAAAAGAAAACAAAGAACGGCTTGAAGCAAAGAAAGTAAAGGTTTATTATTTGAGGAAGTGGTGTTATGCCCAAAGTCACAGGTGAGCTAATGCTCAAAGACCTGGCTTCCCAATGGCTTCTAGGGCATGGATTATATGGGAGGAAATCATTAATCATAGTGACTAAGGGAGTTAGGGTTGTGTCTCTTGATTAGTCAGTGCTAGGGTAGGGGTAGCTGATCATTGCATCCCATCCTGATGTCAGCTATGTTGTCATTCTGTCTGGTCTCACAAGGATTTGGTCAGTGGGATGTTGCAGTTCTCTGGTTCTGGAGCTGAAACATAACAGAGGCCTAGATGTTATCTTCCTCTGTGGTCACCAGACCCCAGGCTTTGTTCCTAAGATCGTTTGATTCCCTCAAGAACCTTGGTGTTCTAAGGGCTTAATGATTAAGGGAGTGGTCGTGCCAGAGAGAGCAAGGTGGGTGAGTCAGGGTTTTGAATCAGGCCAGTTTAAATCAAAAGGAAAAAAAGCAGAAATTGTCAGATTAAAGAAAATGGGGTTTCTGCATGGTTACATAAGTAGCATGGATCTTAACCTGCTGCTCATTAGAATTGCCTGATACTTTGTCACTCCACAGTATTTTTATATCACGAAAATAAGCATCATAAAATCAATTTCAATAACACAGAAGTTTTTACTTGCCTTGACAGAGTTCCAACTTGCTAAACTTTCCACAAAAGAGATCACTTTTAATACATTTAAGTGAATATATACAGTAAAAATAAATGATTCTTAAGTCATCTTTTCATGACCTCTTCCTTGTCCCCTTTCGTGATCAACTCCAAGGCCATAAGAACTCTGTGAACTTTAAGTTATTTTAGAGGAGAGGCAGACAGTCGTATTGCTCTTTTGTACCAATATCAAACAGAAGAAAGATCCAGATGATGAGATTAAAATTCTTCTGCAAACAAATATCCTCAGCTGTATTAGAAAATGAAAAAATGAAGTAAATTGCTTTTCAACTACTTTTTTTATAGTGTCCATAAGGGTGATTTTTTTTTTTACAGTTTTAATTTGATATTGTCTTGCAACTATGTATCTAGTGTGAATGAATAATCTATAAGGGGTGTTCTTCAATCTGGTTAATTTGGGGGGTTAAAAGGCAGTGGCATATTTAATAAGACAATATTAGCTTTAAAATGTAGTCATGTGAAATTCTGTGCATGATCTGGAAGACCTTTACAACTCATGACCTTAAAACCTTAAAATCCTGGCCAGTGAGGCTCAGTTGGTTGGAGCACTGTCCCGTAAACCAAAAGGTCATGGGTTCGATTCCCGGTCAGGGCACATGCCTGGGTTTCAGGTTTGGTTCCCACTTGGGGTGGGTAGAAGAGGCAACCAAACAATGTTTCTCTCTCACATAGATGTTTCTCTCCCTCTCTCTCTTCCTTGGCCTCTCTGTAAAATTAATAAGCATGTCCTCAGTTAAAGATTAAAAAAAAAAATCTCATCTTTATTTATATTATCTTAGGAGCCCCGATTTGAAGTACTCCTACAACATGCTGGGAAGTATGTGGATTGAACCAAAGATCTAGGCAAAAGGCTGGCAGAAATACATTTTATTTTATTCCTTTATTCCTTAGAGAGTGTTTCAAAGAACTGGGAAATACATTCACATTCAGGGGGAGTTTTCACTTTTTATATTCATTGCACAAACTTGAAACCTATGAACACAAAATACCATTCAGCATCAGTAACAATTCAGAAGATACACTTGAAAATGTTCATTGATGCTTCTCGGGTCTCGCTTAGATGGGTAAGCATCAGAGCCAAAAGGATCCTGAGTATCCATCCTGAAGACTGGGGATAGGAACAGAACTTGACATCTTTGCCTTTGTCATTGACATCTCAAAACCACTTATTTTTAGCAGCAGTCAGGAAGGTACTACGCTTCTTTCGGAAGACAGTCTTTAATCTCAACTATCAGAAATCTTTGATGTATTTTTAAACCATATTCCATATTCCATTGTTTCTACTTATACTAGTTATGCCACCTTAATCAAGCCACCCACCTCCCTCCACCCTATCTGCATCCTGATAGAAATTGGTTGCTTCCTAAACTCTAACTATAGCCAAAGGCTTTATATTTAGTATAATTTTTAGTTACTTCCAGCCCTTTTAATCAGAGACGATCGGTTTCTGTATCACATGTCAGTATTATATGTCCTGAGCCAAGAAAACAGAACAGATCATTACTAAATCAAATTACTGTAGCCCATGGGTTGGGGTAGGAGGTGGGGGCAGGGAGCAGCTCATCTCCCCATCTGAGACCTTTCTGGTGGTCTCGGCTACAGTCCAGAGCTCTCTTTCCAGGAGCAGAAACCTCTCTCACTTCATCACAGATCCTTTGGCTCCTTTCCTGCTAGACAGTCAGGAACTCAACGTGTACTCCAAAGCACTCCTCACTCCACCAAATTCAAAACCATCAAGGGCTTAGCCAGACTGCTTTATGGTTTTCATACCAGGTCTCCAGCAAGGGCAGGGCTCTCCCATCCCCGGCCCCTTCATGTTTCTCCAGCTCGCATTGCCGCCCCGTCCTGTGGCATTTCCAGGGTTGTTTGTGCTCTGTCAAGACTGCTCCATCCTGGGCACCAGCTCCGCACCCCAGGCCAGTTCCCCTAAGTCTGGTACGCAGGCAGCAGCACCTACCAGAAAGACCGCCGGCAGATTGAGTCCCTTTGGCTTCTCAGTGGCCCTGCCACCTGGCCATAGCGCTGCAGTCCTCCAGGAGCAGTTGACTTTCTTTGACCTCTCCCACAGCAGGCAGTGCAGGGACAGACACCAGTCTCCACAGCTGCTTCCCCTTGTGGGGGAGTGGCCCTGGCTTCCAGGTGAAATGACCTCATTTCTGACATTGTCCCCACCACTTCTTGCCTCCGAAAGGGCATCCCTAACATCAGCCTGGTGGCTTACCTGCCACTATGGTTGCCTCTTGGTCGTGCAGCAGCCAGATCTTATGCCAAATCAAGGGTGCATGAACAGAGGACTGCCAGAATGTCACCCCAGCACCAGGACACTGGGACTGTTTTTAGCTAGGAATGAAGATGGCCAAGAGAATTAAGCGGCCTTACTGTGTCTTTGGCCTCCCTCTTGCCTGTGCTGAAAGCATCTTAAGACCCATAGGGCAGGCTGGTGGCGGGGAGCTTGTGGGGATGGGAAGTAACATCCCTGTGCTGCAGAAAATGCCCCCAAGCATAAGGGCTTAGAGGAAAGCCAGGTCACTGCTTTATTTCACATACCCAATGATGGGACACAAACCTTCCAGGCATGGACAAGCAGGGAAGTGAGACCCTGTTGAAGTCACATTCACTCTCCCCAGTGTAGGAGCCTCACCCTGGCCATGGAGAGCATGGGCCACTGAGATGCCCTCCCTCTCCTCCCATGCTCTCCTGAAGTCCCACTGCTCTGTCCTTCTGGAAGTGGTCTTCTAACCACCAGCTAACCCGGCCCCATCTCTTTCTGTGTCTTGAACATAATAATGTCTTTTGGGGGCTGGGCACATACTTCTTCCAGCTCCAAGAGGAGGACAGAAAATGTCCATTCATCAGACAAATATTTAGGAGGCAGGTCTGTATGAAGTGCAGGGGACCCCTGGGCCAACCAGGCAAAGACCTACCCTGGGGGGCTTGAATTTTGAGGCAGAGACAGATAACTGATAAGAAACAAATGTAAAACATGTCAGGCCATGGCAAGTGCTTTGTAGAGAAATAAAGCAAGGTTGGCATGGAGATGGACAGGATGGCCTCTGTGCTGGGTGAGAGGGGCGGTTCAGCGGAGGGAGAGCACCTGTGTCTGTCTTCTTCCACACATAGATGCAGTGTGATCTCCTCTCCTTCCGCTTACTTCTCCCTACCTCCAATTGTGTAACATATCACACCCCTGGGACGAGTCTTAGAGCCTTTACTAGGTGTGCACACCTGCTCACCTTTGGATATTATCAGGACTTATTATGCTATAGGAACACCTCCCACTTCCTATTTTGTATTCACATGGCAGTATGGCCTTCCTCTAGCTTAGCCTTGGAAGGAGACCTGTGTCCCCTCCCACTTTCTAAGTGGCCCCTCACTCCCAACCCTACAGCAGGTGGACAAGAGGGAAGAGGGAAGAGAGAAGGCAGGGATAAAAAGAAAAAAGGAGGCAGCAGTACTCCTCAATCAGGAACGTTATGGTACCTGGGCAGACACCTGTGCAAGATAGAAATGGGAACGCCCCTCAGGCCCTCTGCTGCCCAGTTCTCCAGTGCTTGTGTGACTATCCCATATGTCACCCAGTACCCAGGAGAAAGTCATCGGAGACCATTCTCAGCACTGCTGGCTTGCTTTTCAGCTTCCTGGAGAGAATTGACAGCGTCAGCTTGGTGGACTACACCCCCACAGACCAGGTACGTGAAGTCAGAGCTGCAGCTGCCCACTGGAGTTTCCACGTGGTTACATAAAGAAATTATGAAATCACCAGTATTATTCAGGGATTATTTTTAAATAGACTAAGGAAAAAATTCTTAAAATAAGTACTTCTTACAAATGGTGCTATCCCTGCATACACATGTGGTATGTTTACCATGCCCTATTAATTGGCTCATTGACTTAGCTCTCTGAAACGTAGTAAATTTCTAAATTCCCAATATCAAAATAATTTTATTTGTGCAATAGGACTAAGCAATTCCCATTCCTCTTGGAGTTCGCAATAGAAAACTAACCATTTACTTCTCCAGCTTCATCAGCTCTGCACACTCTGCTTTTGGCCTTTGTCTGAGTCACAAGCCATAGCACACTCTTAAGGTTCTCCATGGGTTAAGCCAGAAAAAAGTGCCCCTTTGCAAGTAGTTGAGAGGGACCTTCTGTGTCCCACAAAACCTTTGACCCTCAGGCATCTGTAGAGACTTGGAGAACCCCAAATTGTTCATCCTGGGAGCCCTCTAGATGCCTCTAGAAGTACTGAACTCCAAAGAAGTTAGAGGAGCTCCATTCACACTGCCTCTCCATCACTCTCCAGTGTTGTGTCCTGGGAGGGCCTTGGTCATGGGCCCCTCTTGGAGGCCCTCTCTTCTCTGCCCCTCCTGGAGGTCTGTGCTCTTCTCTGTCCCTTGAACTCCATCTGTCTCGGAGGCTGACTCCAAGAGCTCCGAATTACCTGGTAGAGCAATAGAGCCTTCCTCGTCTTGAGTCAATTCCAGGAAGCTGTCCTAAGCACTCTCATCAGGCTAGCAGGGGAGGCCCACCTCCCAGCTTCCAGAATGATTGCAGTGTCTGCTTCATTAACATCATAATGGATTTGTGATCAGAAAGAAATATCTCTGACATCTGACAAATGTATAAGAGATGTCAGCTTTGTAAAACTGGTTTTCTCGTCTCCTCCAAACTGCAATCATCTTTTATCTTAGAGAGAACAGAAGTACGCGGGGAAGAAAAGAAATCTTAAATCAACTAGCATCCAGTCCAAAAAATCCATGATCTGTAAATGCAGAGTTATACTTCCTTTGGTGTCTCACCCAAATGGTTCTGAACCCGGAACAGCTCACTCCCCAGTTGTACCAGGAGAGCACTGGCAGCGTCTCTGCCCAGAACACTAAGGGTGTGATTTGGTTGTTAGGAGCATGACAGTGGCTACATTTATCAGTGATTTTTTAAAAAATACTAAAGAAAATAAAAGCACAGCTATCAAGTCTCTTAAGATTAAACCGATAATATAACTGCGACATTCTGGGGCGGGGCAACAGAACACTTTGTCTGAGTTTTTAATTACTGTATTAGTGCTTCTGTTATAATAAAAGAAACTGATCTTTGAAAAACTATTATAGTTGTATCCAAGGCTTTCCTTCTGGAGAACGATGATGTCACTTGGTTTGCTTTTCTCTTCTTGCTTTCAGGACCTTCTCAGATGCAGAGTTCTGACATCAGGGATTTTTGAGACACGATTCCAAGTGGACAAAGTAAACTTTCAGTAAGTGTGTTGTCAAGAGCAGGCCCGCTGTGGGACTGTGGGCAGAAAGCTCTCCTTGCTGCCTGCGGGGGCCCTGCAGGACTTGGGGCCAGGGAACCCAGCTCCCACCCATGGCCGCCAGGCTTTGGGGAACAGAACCCCAAATGTGCACTGTGTTCCCTTTGGATAAGTAAATACAGACTCTGTGGTCCTGAAGTAATGCAGAAAGTTCAGAAAAGGGAGGACTCCAAGACCGGGAAGGCCTGAGAAGGTGAGAAAGACCTGAGGCATTGGGGTAGGTAGAGAGAAACTGCAGCCAGAAACTCAGGCAGAGGGGTGCACTGCACAGGCTGCCCTGAGAAGAGGCGCCTGAGCGAGGCTGATTACCACAGGGTGAGAGCTGGACAAGAGAAGTGGCTGGCTGTGGACACCCGGCCTGGCACCCTGGTGCAGAACCTGGAGTGGGCACAAGCAGTCTGCCAATCCACACAGGCTAGGCTGCAGGCTGGACAGCAATGGCGAAGAGAGCGGAAGGGCAGAGTACTTCCTCACACTCCCAAATAATTGTTGTCCTATTGTCCTTCCACAGCATGTTTGATGTCGGTGGCCAGAGGGACGAGAGAAGAAAATGGATCCAGTGCTTTAATGGTGATTTCTATGCTCTCAAGAAAATGGGATGGATGTTCACATTCACTCCTGCTACTATGTTTATGAAGTTTTGAATGAGATCATCTATAAATTGCCTTAAATATGAGTCTCATAAATAAGGAATTTAAGCATCTCAAATTTCCACGTACCATTTGCTAATACAAGTAGACTCCTGGTTGAGCATATTACTGAACAACCAGTTACACACATAGTGCCAATTCGAATCATTCTCACAGTCATGGAATGAAAACTACCCTGGAAATGGGTAGCAGTTGGATGTGTACTTTATCATAACCCCCAAAGACCACCTGTCTAACTTTTTCTCTCTTCTCCCACTAAGATGTCACCGCTATCATTTACGTGGCTGCCTGCAGTAGCTACAACATGGTGATTCGGGAAGATAACAACACCAACAGGCTTAGAGAGTCCCTGGACCTTTTCGAAAGCATCTGGAACAACAGGTTATAAAAATAATAAATTCAGTCTCACCACTGGATTGCAGATTTTCTCTCATTAAAAATATCACTCAGCTCACTTTTATTTTTATTCTCCAGATACAGCCATTCTTTCCTTACTGATAAATCCAAAAGTGTAAGAAGTATCTCTTTTAGTCCATCTCTTATATAGACATCTTAACATGGGTCCATTCCTTGATAAAGTTTGGTAGAGTTTTGTCAAGAAAATTTAAATCTCTGTTTTGAAAATGTAAGATTATATCTGGAGTTCAAAATTGGTTTGGTTTGGTTTTCATAATTGAGAAAGTGCCATTTTTAAACATGCACATACAACTAGATGATCCATAACTAAGATCAGTTACAGCTCAAAAGCACAATCATGTTTGAAAGTGCTACTGCTGAACTGCAAACACACACACCAAATGCGATGCATGTAGTTCAAAATCAAAGTTTCTTCTGAAATATTTGGGAAGAAATAGCACCAGGAGGACAGAAACATAAGCTGTCCTCACAAAAGGTTTGGGTTATCAGAAAAGTATTTCTATAATAAACTATTCAACAATTGTTCTTAATTTTATAGTATTATGACAGTTAATGGGAAAGAGTCCGGGAATACTGGGTATACAGAGAAATATGTTGGAGTCATTAAAAATGTATACACACACACACATAATCACATGGGGAAATTGCCACAATATTGTTAAATGAAAAGGCAGAGTTAAAAACACCTTGAACTTATTTTTATAAGTATGATAAATATGTATGAGGATAGAAAAAAAACCTGGAATTAAAAACATAAAAACTCTAATCGTTGTTTCTGGGTGTAATTATTTTTTTCCTACATATTAATTTTTCTATAATTAAAAACTCATTTTTACAAGGACTATGTATTTTTTAACTAGGAAAAACTGTAAGACTATTTCCTTTTGTGGAAAGAATGGACTGTGTTTCTATTTCATAGTAAGATTCTTGTGCACTAATCATCAACTTTGAAGTTGATGATTCCTTTGAAGTAATAGAATTTCTAAAGGCTTTGCTGATGTACACACAGAATTCATGTTAAGCCATTTCTCAGCATCTATTTAATGAAACAGAGAACTTTCCAGCCTGCACTTCGCTGTACCTGAGCCCCTCCTCTTGGCTTGTCCTGTCCATGCAGTGATCTAGATCTGACTGACATCCTGCTCCCTGTTGGAGGACCTTAGACCTGGTCAGAGGTGTCGGGAAGAACCGAGCCAGCTGCGAACTATGTTCTGTGTGATTAGCTAATGAGTCCTGTATCTTCCTTTCACTTCTAGTTTCCTGACCCTTTATTAGTAAATTATACCACCATAATCCAAGTGTATTCGTTATGTAAGTAAACCTTAGCTTTGATACCAGAAAATTTATGTGCCCAGTGAAGATAAGTTAGGAAGTACTAAACTGCTAAATCAGCTCCTATATTTATTTATCGTTATAAAAACGTCATTCTTATAGATGGAGTGGGGGACCAAGGTATTGGTAAATAATGCTAAATCCTATACATCATCAGGAATATGGCAATATTGTCCTTTTCACTGAATTCCTCCTATGTTAGATGTACTTGCTCATATAGTGGATGTGGAGTTTGTATATTTATTTCTCCTTTTCAGGTGGTTACGGACCATTTCTATCATCTTGTTCTTGAACAAACAAGATATGCTGGCAGAAAAAGTCTTGGCAGGGAAATCAAAAATTGAAGATTATTTCCCAGAGTATGCAAATTATACTGTTCCTGAAGACGGTAAGTTTTCAAAACAAGTTTCCCCTGATTAAGGAAAAGACTTAATTGTTCTTTCAATAGCCCTGTAACTATAATTCAAATAATTCAGATGAATCTAGAAAACTCAGTTAATTAAAATCAATCCTCTCAAATACTGCCCCACCTCAAGTAGGAAAGTATAGAAACCATGAGAGATTTCCATACTCTGTGTAAAAATTTCAGAGTTTGACTTTCCATTTAAACTGTGCAGCTGGAGAAAGGGCAGTTTTAGGTGTGAGTATGTCATTAGTTGGGATAAGCTCTACCTCTTGGCGCCTCAGGTAGGCCTGCTGTGGAGTGGGCTATGTCAGCCCTTTACATCAACTTTCATGCTGAACCCTCACAGTAACCCTATATAAGGGTTTCTATTATTGTGTTTTCTTGTGGAAAGTGAGGCTGATAGAGGTAAAGTCACTTGTTCAAAGTCACTCAGGCAGAGCCTGTGAGGACAAAGCAGGCTTTGAACCCTTTACTCCCAAGCCTGTGCTTTCAGCCATCATATTTACATCTCTTGTCTCCAGGGATGACTTTGGCTATGACATTGGTCATTCTCATCAGGATGACCAACCATCTGTCAGTGTTCCTGGGACCTGGGGCTTTCAGTGCTAAAGCCAAGAAGGTCCTGTCCAGGCAAACGCCAGCAGAGTTGGTAATCCCATTTCCAATTGCTGCTCTTAAGTTTTGAGTAGACACTGGGCCACCAGACTCCTATAGGACAGATTTGCTTACAGCAAAATAACACTTTTTAAATTGGAATCCCGAACTAGACCAAGCAGAATGAAAGGGACTTTCCTAGAAAATTCCGTAAAAAAGTTAAGGAAATTCATCAGCCTCATTGCACTAACCTCAGCAGCCTAGGGGTGTGCTTTCCAAGGCTAAGGCAGCAGGCCATCTGCCTGAAGGAAATCTTCAGAGCACTGCTTGTGTTGTTGCCCTTTCTGTTGCTGGATTTCTGTCTCTCAGCAACTGACTCTAACTTTCCCAGTCACTAGTCCCTCCACCCCCATTCCCTTCACCTGACTAGTCAGTACTCAAGCTCTGTGGAGTTTACTTCCTAAATGCCATCTGTGACGGCATACACATCCTTTTTTTCCCTCCTTATACATAGCCTTTGTCCTGACCCTCATTACCCTCATCTCAGCTATGGATCAAGTCAATACAGCTTATAGCCAGGCTCTCTGACTCTGGTCACTCAGCTTTCCAGAAAACTCTGAAGTTCTGACAAAGTCACCTTTCTGAAACCCAATCACACCATGCTTAGGAAACCTACCAACACTGACTTAATCTTCCCACAAGCTGAGGCCAAAACTGACCTGTCTAGGACATAGTAAAAGGTTCATTCCCCTACTTTCAGCAATACCGCGGCCCTCCACCTCAAGCTCAATGACACTGTGCTCCTCCCCCGCCACACTCAATGACACTGTGCTCCTCCCCTCCACTCAGTGACACTGCGCTCCTCCCCCCATACTCAGTGACATGTGCTCCTTCTCCCCCCATGCTTTGTGACACTGTGACCTTACCCACACATACTCGGTCACCCTGTGCTCCACCTCTGCTCATCCCTCCCTCCCTCTGCTGGGGCCTGCCCAGGCGCCTGTCCTGGCCAAGCATGGCCAGCCTCCAGGTCAGGGCTGACTCAGAGCTCCCCAGTACCACAGTCGTTGTAACAGAGAAGGGAAGACAGTGGTGAGAACAGGCTGACTTGAAGCCTTGAGTTTAGGAAAATAAATTTCACAGGGCCACAGAAACTATTGAATGATAATCCCAAGAACATAGAATGTGCATAGGAAAAAGGCTCAGAAGGGCCTAGCGCAGAGTGGTCGCCACAGTTGATTTTAATTAGGGGCCGCAAATAGCCTGTAGTAGGAACAGTAAGAGAGGGTCTTTCTAAGAACAACTCAGATGGAATAAGAACACAGCCCCAGAGACGGGATGAGCTGAGCCGTTGCTGAAGCCACAGCCAGGGGCCTGGCGCTGAGCTCCTGGAGGCTGCCAGGTTTTCTCCCCTCCAGGGAGTGCTGAAGGCAAAGGCGGCTGTGGGCATGGCCAGTGGCCAGTGAGATGTTTTCATTTTATTTAAGTGGAAGTTATCCCAGCACCACCAAAAAAGAAAGTTTTATGAGAGTTATAACTATTAAAATAATTTGAAAGGAGGAAAGAAAAATGAAAGTAACATTTTAGCTTTTTGCCTGTCATATGTGCCTTTTAATGCTATAAGTACACCGCAGTCCAACTTTGTAACTCATTTTATATTTTCTGTAGAGTTGTATCTCTGTTTCACATTAGTTAATTAAAATCCCATTTGTAATTTCTACAGCAACACCAGATGCAGGAGAAGATCCCAAAGTTACAAGAGCCAAGTTCTTTATAAGGGATCTGTTTTTGGTAAGCAATTGTATTAACCTTTGTTTTCCTACCACCAGAGAGTTATCTTGTTCTTTGCAATTTGCAAATTACTTACCATTTCATGATCTTATTTAATCTCAAATTATGACAGATGAGAGAAGGTATTGTTACCTCATCTCACAGCTGAGCACACTGAGGTTCAGAGACATTTGATGTCTCACCTCAGGTCACACAGCTTCCAAGCAAGAATGGCACTATGACAAGCTGGACCCTTTTGCTTGTGTATTTTCCAAAATAGAAACAGTCCTTCAGCAGAGTCTGAAACACCAGCATCCATGCTGGGTCCCCCTTTAATCCTTTGTCTTCCATTTAACACTAAGAGACTAAAATTAACATGAAAATGGACCGGCTCAGAATCAGACATTTTTTTTACTTTTTATTTCAAGATGACTTTAAACTTACATAAAAAGTGAAAGAATTGTATAAATAACTACCATATACTCTTCACCCAAATTGACCAACTGGTAAAATTTTACTACATTTGCCTTACCTATATTTTTTTCATTTGAATAAGCCACAGTGTATAACTGGCTACAACTTTTCACTAGCTGGAAACTAGCAGATGCCAAGATTTACCCAAGACCATGTTCCAGTCATACCCAGACAGCACTTGGCACATGTCGATTGTGCAGAAGCCCAGTCTGCAGCAGGAATGGTCCAGTGTGCAGGCGGGCGTTTCCATGGGGATCAGATCCTCAGCACAACACCTGGAAACACCTTTCTCCACCCTCCTTTCAGCATGCTCCCCATTGCCTCTTGAATTCCTATATTGAGTGAGAAAGTAACAAGGGTAAGAAACCAAGTCCCAAGGTGAGATCTGAGGAACAAATGTCCCCAGGAAGAAACAGGTAGTGCTGCTGGGAGAGAGCTGAGCAATGAGTCAATCTGGGAAATGCTGTGTTAAATAAAGTGAGACAAGTTTCTCTGTTGTCAGACTTCTCAGAACATTCACTAGGCTGATGCACTTTGTGTCTCTTCAATCAGGGAAATTAGCTTCTAGTAGATCAAAGACTTCCTTTCTTAAGGAGCATCTTGCAAGACCATAACACATAACAACACATTAAAAAAGCGTTCCACAAATGCTCTTCTGATAATGAAAAAATAACCAAGTGTGTAAATCAGGCATTTAGATAAAGATTAGAAATAGAGTATGAATGGCCATGCCCCCACCATTCAGTCCTTGGGCAGAAATCTTTTCTTCTCTAACAGTGGACAAACCTAGCTTGTATGCAGTTTGCAAATCAAGGAAATAGAGGCATGGGAGGTATTGGCTTATGTTTTTTATTGTGGGATGTGCCTGGGGCAGTGAGTCACCCAAGAAGTTTTGAGTTGGAACCCTCAACCCCAGGCTTAGAAGGCATCCAGAGCAGATCACAGAACTGATTATTTATTAGTATTTGATCTGGACAAGAGCAAATCTTCGGTGAAATGATAACTTTGGTAACACAGGGTGCCAAGAGAAGGTGGGGAATAAAGGTGATAAAAAGGAGAGGTACGGGGGAGGACCTCTTCTTGAGGCGGATAAGGGGGCATTGGGGCCAAGAAAGGGAGAGGGTGCAGGGAAAAGAACCCCTCTATGAGAAGGGGCCAAGTGTTGTCAGCATTCTCCTTAAATGTCATTACATGAGGAGGGGACTGACCACTAGAAGGTTTGTCCCAGGCAAGGTCATTTCTTCTCATGGGGAGGCATGAACCATCCCCAGAACAGGAGGGTCTTAGCATGGAGGGAGGCAGAAGGAGAGAGGGCAGGGTAGTCAGCCCGCAGCATCCCCTAAGTCACCATCAAGCAGATCTGTCCCTCAAACTGGAAACCACCTGCAAGCCCCAGCCCGGACCTGGACCAGAGTCTCCTCCAGGGCCAGTGCTGCCAAATCTTTTAGAGCAGAAAGTGGTAAGTGTGCAGTCACTACCCTGTGTCCTGAAACTCTTAGCGTCTGTTAGAAGCCTGCGTGTTTTCTGAGCTGTCTTCCTCATATTTACTAGATCATCTCAGATTTCTTTCACCTTGACCATTATCTCCTAAGAATGGGCCTCAGAGAATCAGGCAGCAGCCAGATGACCCAGCCAAACAGAGTCTGGAACTGCCCAGTTTTCCTTGACAAGCTTATTCCTATTATTTTTCATGAAAATTAGTTTTCTTAGAGATTTAAACTGTTTGAAATTTGCAAACTGCAACAACCTTTGTAATAACTCCATTCCTTCCAGGTGGGGAGAAACTGGTCACATTATTACAAAAGAAAGCCTATTTTCATTCACTCACTACACACTTACTCTCCTTGTGCCACATACCTCACCTCATCCTTAGGACTAAAAAGACATGTAAGTGACAGACTCCAGTGTCCTTAACTTAAAAAAAAAAAAAATTTTTTTTAATTGCTCAAGAGAAGCCCAACTACTTCTAAAAACTTCTCTCCTTTTAGGATTTTCCTAACCTGATGAACATTTGTACAACACCTTTGCAGAGCCCCAGTATTTCTCTAACGGTTGTTTCCCAAGCTTCTTTGCAGAAGAATAAGGGGTGGGAATGGAGGACATTGGGATTCCTGTGGGCAACTATGAAGCAAGTTCCATATGACCCATGCATTAGTCTGCCAGGGCTGCCATAACGAAGTCCTACAGACTAGGTGGCTTAAACAAAGAAAATTCCTCACAGTTCTGAAGGCTGAAAGTCTGAAGTCAGGGTGTGAGCAGGGTTGGTTTCTCCTGAGCCCTCTCTCCTCAGCTTGCAGATGTTCACCTTCTCCTTGCATCCTCACAGGGTGTCCTTATAAGAGGAGATAAGGGCACCCATTTTACTGATTAGCACCCACCCTAATGAACTCATCTTAACTTAATTACCTTTTTAAAGACCCTATCTTCAAGTACAGTCACACTCTGAGGTGCTGAGGGTCAGGACTTAAACATATGATTGGATGGAGGAGGAACACAATTTAGCCCATGACAACCTCTCTCCACACTGCCCGACTTAGCTTCACAATGCACATGAGCGTGTCACTCCAAGATGTCCTCACAAATCCTGACTGATGACATTTAACTCAGTGTTTCCCAGTTATCTGGCCACAAAGCACTTTTCTCCCAGAACTGTCATGAACCCTCCACTCCCAACCTGGGGACACCCTAGGAAAGGCTGAAGGTCTATGTGGAGGAGGAAGCAACATGACTGATGTGCTGTCCATACAGAACCACTAGTCATGTGTGGATATTTAAATTAAAATTAAATAAAACTAAACATTAGTCTCTGTTGCATCAGCTCAGTGTGGTGGCTACCTTATTGGCAAGGAAGATACAGAACATTTCCATTACTGCTGAAAGTTCCACTGAAAGGTTTAGACCTTCATTTCTGGAAAATTCTGTTTTCAGTGGCTGTCTTTTAATTGTTCATCCTGTCTCAAATGAATTCTAAGCTTCTGTGGGCAGGAGGTAAGCTAAGATTCTTTGGGTTTCCAGCTGTGTGTTCAGTATTTAGATACTCCCTACAGTTCTGTGTTTCTATGTCAAACAAACAAGACAACACCCCAAGCCCCCCTGCTCTTTGATCCAAGAATGAATGGGGTGGGACCTGCGTTCCCACCTGCCCCTGGGAGAAGTGGCCAGGGTTCTGCAGCTGGACGCCTTTTCTTTTCCCCCCAGAGGATCAGCACGGCGACAGGGGACGGCAAACACTACTGCTACCCGCACTTCACCTGCGCCGTGGACACGGAGAACATCCGCAGGGTGTTCAACGACTGCCGCGACATCATCCAGAGGATGCACCTCAAACAGTATGAACTCTTATGAGGCGGCCCAGGCGGTGGGCGCGCCTTCTGGCGCTGTCTCTCCGCCTGCTCTCATTTCTCTGCTACCGCACCAGGCGGACCAGTTACTTCCATACTGCCTGTCAGCCCCAAGCCATGGTAGTAAGTAGAGTTCCCACTGTCTGTCCTGCTCTGTCCCCTCCGTGTGTGACCACCAAGCCTCTGGCTACCTCTTTCCCTTCAGGTTTGGTTTGTAGCTTTTGTTCTTATTGAACAGGGCCTTCCCTAGCCTCCGCACCCCCACCCATTTGTGTCACTGCCATCAACCCATTCTCACTCGGGTGACACTGCAGTTTAATTCCTCTGGGTGGGGGTCGCTATTATTCATCCATTCAGTGATTTATTGATTAATTAAAAACTTGATAGATGGCGGAAAAGCACTTTTCCCTGAGTTATGTGGCGTGATTGTAGAGGCACATGTGTAATGCAGTAAGCCACAGCTTTCCGATTCTAACTGTAAGCTACAGACAGACAAGTGGCCACCTCCTCTGATCTGTATTAGCCCAAGATTTAGAGTAGGCCCCAAGCCAGAGTGGCAAGAAAACCTTTTTTCAGTAATATTTTGAGTATTTGCTAGCCTCAGGCATTTGAATTAAGTTACTTTGAGCCTTTTATATTTAGACAGAAAACCTACCACATTGACTACTGCAAAGATCCTGTCTAAAAATGATTCTCTAGACTTTCCCTATGCTTGGGCAACAGTCTCCTTTCATATATTCTTTTTGTTGTTATGTTATTGCTGGTTTATTACACTGTACAGGCCACAAAATGTAATATTATTTTGTATAACTACTGAAGAAAAAACCTTGTAGATCTTTGTGCCTTGATTATGGCCATACCTGTAAAAGAAGTGTGTTTTTACTGTGCTGAACAGCTAAATGTCAACATTACCCACCGCTTGCTCAAAGAAAGGGAATGAAAGATATCTGTAGAATTTAGGACATTTTATCAGGACAATGAAAAATACTCCTTAATTTTAAAAAACTGTATGTACATATATTATACATGTAACTCTTCCACATCTTACAAATAATGCTGTACTAACATCACAAGCATCTTCCAGGGAACCAAGATAAGTTTTTTTCTCTCCAGACAAGATGTTCTTGATTATTTCACTGTTTAAAGAATTTTACAAGTTCCCTGAGTGAGAACACATCAACCATTCCCACCATCAAGGCTTTTAAACCACTTATTTGGCCAGTTTCCATCATAATAGGAATAAAAAGACAAAAAAAGGTCAACATTTGTCTACCTAGAGAATCAAAAGATAACATTTTCATTTGCCATTTGAAGAAGAAACATTACTAATGTTTTATTTGAAATATGAAGTCAAAATATATGAAAGATTTGCAAACGAAGCCTCAAAAGTTATGCCACAGTGTAGCTACAAGCAAGAATCACTGTAGCAGGGACATTTTATATTCTCTCCACAGCCACAGCTTTGAGGGTAGTTCTCATAGGTCAAAGATAATTTGTAATGATATCTGAAGTTACAGTTCAACCATACCAAGCCAGAGAAGTCATACCCTGAGCAGTCATGGCCTGGCCTACATTACTTCAGAAACTTCCTTTTAGTCTTCTAGTCTTTGTTAAGTATTTTAAAGTTTATAATGTTATTAGCAATTTTAGAATCCTTTATAAACTTATCCAGTTTTAAATACTACTACTTTAGCATGAAAGGATGACAACTTTATAGACAATCAATGCAACAAATTTTATTTTTTTCATTACATTAAAAATGCACATATTTTCATTCATTAAAAATGCACATATTTTATTTCATTATCACTGAATTCCTGCCCCTCTTATCCTAAATTGTTTGATAAAACTCTCAGTTGAACTTAGACATATAAAGCAGAACTTATTTTCAGTCTTCATTGCACTTTCAAAGTAAAATATGAAGAAAAACTGAACAGATATACCTCCCTTCAGAAAAACTGAACAAATACATAAAAAATGAAATAGTTTATTGTTACATGCATTACTACTCAGTAACTCCCCAGTCACTAAACTTCCTATTTAAAAGTTTGATTGAAAAAAAGAACTAGACTCTTGGAAAAACTACATTTTATCTGACTTAAAATTATCAAGATATTTATTTTTAAATACCAAAGCCATTTCCTAGTCCATTTTTCATATTTATTTTTATCACTGACAGGCATTAAATTCAGATTTAACAACTTGGTCTGCTGGAGAGAAAAGTACTCTTTTCTAAAAAGAAGTACACAGAAGTACAAAAGTCTGTGTAAGCAATATATTCCTGCTTGTAGCATCTGTACATTTATTTTCATTGTACAGCTTTATGATATATAGGAATTCAAGAACAGCTTTTTAGGAGGACAGAAGCAAACGCGTGTTTGGTTTGTGTACCCCTAATCCCAAGTGTGCTCCAGGGCTACTGGCTCCACCGTGGGGAAGGAAGGGCTGTCTAGTGCATGCAAGTGATGACATTAATAGCGTTTACATATTGTACAGATACAATCTTCGATTATACATATATTTGATAAAATGAGAAAACACTATTGTCGTAGACTACATGTTCCATTTTTATAGCATGAGAACAGTACAATCAACTATTTATTCTGCAGCAATTTGCACCAATGATTTAGAATTTCTATGATATGCATAAAGACAGTTCACTTTGGTCTCATCTCACATGAGCACTGCCTGATGTTCAGTTTCTTTGGCTTTGATATTACTAAATGCAAAAAGTCTCTTGTTCTTCACACTGTCTTAAATTTCCTGAGCAGCTTACAACCAAAAAGAAAAGGTGAGGCTAGAAGTCCAAGGTCAACTAATATGATGACCACAAGGAACCCAACTGCTCCACAGTATGTGATCAGAACTGTGTTCTCAAAGGGAAGGTAGCACTTGGCCAGGGCAAACTCTGTGGGCGTCAGGCTGCCCTGGAAAGGAAACGAGAATGTTATACTGCAGTAAAAGCTCCATACACAGTTCAACATAACAATGTGACTTATAAACAATGGAGGAAGGGCAGCTTTCTTGGCTTACTTAGGTGAGGCATGGAAGTGGCTCTCCTCACCTGGGACTTAAGGAGGCACAGCCTTCAGCCTACCCAAGCAATGCTGAGAAGAGAAGTCAAGGGTTCCTCTAAAATATAGTGGGCATACTTGAAAGCTACTCAGAGAGGCATGGAGATTTAGAGCAATGGTCATCAAGAAACAGGAGAGTACAAGACTATTTTTCATGCCACTTGATCCTAAATTAAGCAATCTGTCACCTAGCTATACATATGCTAGAAGCATCTCAATGGGCTTTTTTTTTTTTGGTAGACATTTTTGCTATGTGGAATGACAGTGGGGAACATTGTCATTTACTACTTTGAATTTGACATGAGGTTTTCCCAATTTTTTAATGAAGTAGAAGTGCCTGACATAAAAGCAGTATGTATGTACTGGATGCTGCAACCCAATGGCAAAAGAAAGGAGCTGAAACATCAGGTGATCACTAATTGAAACAACATCTTTAATCAACTTGTCAGAGCTGTAGCATTCTTCTGCCAGAGTATATGGGCACATTTGGAAAATAAGATAAGATGGCGCAGTATAGCCAATGAAGCAATGATAGTTTCCTTAATTAAACACAGAAATTCTAATATCAGAGGACATTGCCATCCCTGAAGGATAAAACACTCTGTAAGCTGCTCCCCACCCTGCTCTGGAATAATGCCAGGAAGGTGTTCAGACAGCGGGCAGTACAACTCAGTGTGCGTGTGGAGCGGGAGAAGTTTAGTTACGGCTTTTGTATATTTTTACAGATTGCAGCAATTAATAGTTGATTACTGTGTTGATTTAAATCCTTATGAAAGCTTTGAGACAAAAATAAATGTTCACATTACCATGATGAAACTGGGGTTGTTTCTGTTCCTCCAACTGAAAGACGGCACACTGAGCTCGGGAATTCCTGCCCCATGGAGCACCTCGCAGGCACTGTGGGTGTGGCCGCTCAGGACCAGGCGAGGCTGGAGCCACCACAGCAGCTGCCGTGCCCGGGGGACAGCAAAAGGAGGTCAGTGCTTGCACACAGCCCTGCTGGGGCCCAGAGGTAGGCCACCGCTGTTTCATTAAGTTAAATATGAAATCCCTACTTCATAGAACTACTTCAATTTTTCCTTAAATTCCTTTGGTTTGTTTAGCCTCTAAGAAAAGTAAGTTCAGGCTCTTAGAATATATTCTTCTCACCCCAGATTTCATTATTGTTATAAATATTTTATAAATACATTTATATTTTATTATATATAATATATATTATATAAATATATATTTAAGAAAGAGCATTTTAAATCCCTAAAAATTTAACTCTTAAGTTCCAGTTACATTTCCAAATATATATAAGTTGGTGGAAAAACTTTGAATAAAGAAACTTGAATAGCTGAGGATATTATTAACTGGTTATTAGGAAACAGAAGTGGATTTACTAGGTGGGTGGGGAGGAACACGACGATGACACGAATATCTGAGATACTGCCCAAATCCTGCCCTCCGCCCCTCTGTCAAAACTGCAACGGTCACCTGCCTTTCAGTGATTTTTTTGAATCTGGTACACTGTCAAACCTTTTGTGAGGCCTCCTGAGAAAGCACGTCATATCTCTCCTTAAAGAGAATGCTCCTTTCTTCTGGAGGTGCGGCATCCTCCCCAGAACAGTTAGCATCACTTCTCCGGTAAAGCGGAAAATGCTGTTCAGGATTTAAACAGGAGTGAGACGTGACTTCATTAGTTCCCTGGGGGGGGTTCCACCAAATACATGGAGCTGCTTTCTCCCCAGCTCACCTGCAGAAGGACTGGGGCTGATGCCGACAGCAGCTGCCCATTCTTACAGTGGCTGGAGGGCTGTTCCTGCTGATCAGACGTCACTCCCTTGACCTAGCAAACCCATTATTCAGTGCATGGTAGGAAGGAAAAAGAGAGCTAAGAGACTGACAAAAACAAGTGTTCCAACTGGCTGTGCCCATAAAACATGCCACAACAGAACGACCTGTGTAATTCAGATGATATCCTACCTCTCGGGAGCAATTCAGTGTGTGAGAAATTTCCATGAGTTCAGCTTCTGCTTCAGAGCAAATGTTGCAGCCATCCCCTTCCAATGCGACGCTGTTGACCATCACAAAACTGAGGCACATGGGTGGAAGCAGAGAGTCAGGGGACTTTCTGTGTATTGTCTTCTTTGCAAAATTATTCCCATGAAACAAAAGCTAGGCATCCACACAGTGAAGAAACCCCCAGAACAGCTTTAAACCTCAACTCGACTAATCTGTGTTTGTAGAAGACAAGAGTCAAAACTAAGAAAACAAAAGAGCATTATTGGGAGTGGAGTCCAAGACATGGTAAAAGGATTTGTAATCCAGAACTTGTGAGAAATCCAAGAGTACAGAAGCTCTGAGGACAGACTACAACTAAGCTCAGCATCGAACTATGTGTTACTTGGGCAAGTTACTTAGCCTCTTTGTGCCTTGTCTGCAAAATGGGGATATAAATAATACACCCACACCAACATCATCAGGTCATTGTAAAAATTAAGTGAAATAATACACAGAATAGGGCCTGCCAGTATAAAGTACTCAGTGAATGTTAGCTATTGTTATTACATAAAGTGAACTACAGGCAACATTCAGTAATGTCTGTGTACTCAAGCAAACAGGCAGGGGTGGGGGGTGGGGTTGCTGGTTATTGCTGACTGGTATAGATAATCCCAAATGGAGTCAATTATCATTCTTCTTTGCAACCACTTTACTTTGGTTACATTTTCTATAACTCCAATTAAATATGCTCTTATTTCCTACACTCATAATAACCGGCCATGAAGAAGGTACCTGTCATAAAGACTTGAAATTGAAAGAATTTTAGAGATGAGTAGCTGACTAATCAAATGATATGAAATATGATCAGTGTGTTAAATTAAAATTTCTTAAACTCTATGTCCAAGGAGAAACTGTCAAGTCTCCATTATGACTCAGGAAAGGAAGCTACTAGAGGCTGTTCTACAGGCAAAGGGAAGGAATGAGCAAGCATTTGTGGAGAACCACTGAAACCTCGTCTCTGAGAGCTTCCCATAGATCTTATCATTTGATAGGCGTAGTGAACTGCTCTGGCCAAGCCAACAGAGTACTGGATACCACAGGAAGGAGATGATCAAAATAAGGAAAAAACCTCTCTCCCACCTTTTCTCTTTCCACTAAATCTGCAGCTAGAATAGTGTGTAGGCACTGCCTGCCGCACTGTGCTGCAAACACACAGACAGAGACCAGAAAGGGTCCAGAGACAGAGATGGGCACAAAAACTGCTCTGCAGAGGAGGAGCTGGAGCTGAGGGTCACACTAAAGGGTCAGGAAGCTTTGATCTAAAAATCAAGGCTGGCTGGAGAGGGGAGGGAGGTAGGCACAGAACTGCAGAGCACAGAGAGTACACTTGCCATCAAATCCGAGGACACCATAACCACAGAAACATACTCTATAAAGGGAAATAAGTAAATTTTGAACAAATGAAAAATACCCCTTTACAAAGTGGCCTGATGAAGTTTATATCACCCAGAGACAGTGCCGACAGAATAAAATTCCCTCAGTGGTTAGGCAAAGTCATGTAATCCAGTCACTGTGGGTTGTTAAGGAAAACTAGTGTGGTGACTCCAGTGGGGACCATCAATAAGGACAGCCTGGGGCACCTTCATCAGAGACCATAAACCAGGCCAGACAGACCAATGGCCTGACCCAGTGTGGCAGTCACCTTTGAAGAATTAAGTTTCCAAGGTCTAAAGGGCATAAGAATTCACAAATGATACTCACTGAATTCCTTTCCATGAAAACAGCCTTTCAGGGTGGAAAACATTCTTGAATCGTTTTATTCTGTATGTGTCCATCCTACATTCAATTATAAAAAGAAACATATTTCAGAATAAGCCCTTTTAAAATCTCTTAAGAGTTATCATGGAGACACACACACACACACACACACACACACACACACACCCTCCCCCCCCCCCCCCCTCTTCAGGATTTGAGCCCCAAACTAGCATTGTTAGTTCCGAGCTCCAGCTGGCCCCAGGTTACCAAGGTGCAACTCTCAGCTCCACTACGGACTAACCGTGAGGCCTATATGGCAAGTGACTTAGTCTCCAGGGCCTCCATTTTCCCACGGGCACAATGGATAAAATAATTGGAGCATGGTAAAGATTAAATGAGTTAATGTGTGGAAGTAAAGTGCTTAATGCAGGCTGGCACAAAAGCACTATATAATTAGCTATTAAGTCTAAATTATCTTGTTTTCCAATTCCCAAAGAAAATAACTGGCTATTAAAGGTAAGTTTTAAGTTAGAATCACCAAGGTCACACACAAGTCATTCATTTAAGAGATTTGTTGAAGGTATATGGTGCACCAAGGCAAAAATCCTTGCCCCCATGGAGCTTACATTCCAGAGCTTACATCTTACACAAATTTCCTCCCAATGGCCCAGATAAAGCTTTTCACCTCAATTGCTTAGATTCAAAATTGCGGTTAGCAAGAGTACTCGTGTTGCAATTCTTCAGTGAACTGCTTACTGGTAGTGGAAGCCAATGTCATGGTTGCCAGCAACTACCTTCAGCTGCACATGAGGCGGGTGTCTGAACATCTTCTGAAACCTCGCCACATCATCTGCCCAGGCCTGCGGGATAAAAGGTCACTGCTGAGACGTAGAGACCCTTCTCCTCACTGTGGCTCCCTATTTGACGGTGAGAAGCTAATTTCCCTATCCAAATTACATGTTCATAAAGCTAATGTAGAACTTAGAATTTCTCATTCTATGTCAAACTTCTTTTTCCAAAACTGATTTAATATTTTACTTATTTAATTTGATGCCAAATTTTAATTAAATGCTATCCCCATCTTAACCCATTAGTTGGCAACCCACCCCTCAAATATTTGGTTCATACAGTTCTTATTTCAAGATCCCCTGAAGACAACACATGGACTCCAGCTTGAGAATCACATCGGATTTGGACATGTTATAAGAACAGGCTCTTAGGAAATGCCAAGACAAGGACAAGAACAGCTTCAGCATTAGCATTTCCCTGTGGCCACAACTGAGGAAGTGAGACCTGATGACATGGGGAAAACAAAATCTAACTATGCAATCTTGAGGATTATGTTGATATAGTTCTTATTTTTTGTTAAGCTTAAAAAATATCAATTGGATACTCTAGGATAGACAACACATAGTTTAATAGTAATCAGCTTTATCCTAAAATTTTTAAGGACAGCCCAACATAGGGAAACATGCTATGTAGAGAGTTCTTCAATACATTTACAAAGACTTCACTCTAACAAATAATATTTAAAGTCAGAATAATACAAAAATCAGAATAGCATAAAATTAGAAAAACATAAAATGTTGCCCTTAATTTGGAAAAGCAACATATATATCCAATCGCATTTTATAACTAGTTGCTTTTTACATATAGCATTTCCATTATTTCATATTTAATTTTTAACCAGATTATAACGAACATTGCAACACTATAAACACTGAGTTTCTATCATATCTGGACTAAGACTTTCTTTGTACAGCTTTTGGATTGTCCTCTGAAATACCAATATTTTATAATATCTTCCAAAAAATCATTTATGACTAAACATTTTTAGCTAAGCAACAAGAAGAGCTCTTTATTATTATTATTAATTCCAGAAATGTAATAAGCAAAGCATTGGCCAGTAAGGTGAGAACTGCTTCTCCTTCCATCACCTCAATCCAGGCAGAGGAACCTCAGACTAAGGCCAATGGCTCCTTCTCCACCTCTCCCTCAGAAGAAAGGAAATAAGATACTAGCAAATAACTTATGGAGCACAATTCTTATAATTTAGTGGATAAATAAAAGAGTAAAGTCAAATTACATTTCAATGTGTATTCTGTAATTTTGGTGACAACTGAAATAGCATCCATCTTGGCAATTCTCCCTTTCCAAAAGGTTCATGGGAATGTTCTTTCCAACAAAGTGATGTCTGGCTAAACTGCATAGTTCCTACATAACAAATGTAAGGTTAATCAACCTAACTCAATATTGGTATTAGACACAGATCCTAATAATCTTCAAGACAGTCTATACATTTTTAATATAGAGACTAAGCAAAACTTCCAACCCCAGTGCTACTGCTTCATGCATTTTCTGGGTTGCCTGTAGAGGACCCCGAAAACAGGATTAGGGCACCAGGATCAGACGGTCCTACCTGAGGGGAGCTCCACTTCCCTTCATCAAAGATGTCCCCCAAAATGAAGACAACTTCCGGCTGCAACAGCCACAGAGCCGTCTGGAAGGCTCTCTCCATTTGCCATTCCCTAAAGGCATTAGGAAACAGGCATCAGTCGTTTATTAGGTGGAGCCTACATCTGTCTCATGGGCCACTTAACAGGTGAACTAAATGGTACCATTCTCCTTTTATGGCCCCACCCTTGTATTCCCATTCATTGCTTGCAAGGGCCAAAGAATCCATATTTGATTAAACATGGAGAGCAAAAGTACAAAGGAGAGTCAGGCTGCCCCTGCCACATATATCAAAGGCTGACTTTCCCTGTGTGGTACCCACAGATCAGTCTCCACACTGCACCCCAAAGCCACCAGTCAGTCATGAGAGGCCCAGGGGTCAGAGCTTAATCCAGCTTCCAAAGCCGCCAAATGGAGACTGATTTTGCACCACAATGAGGAGACAGCAGCATCTGGCTTAACTCTCACTTCTTCCTGCAGAGACCTCCATTTTTTGCCTTCAGAATTGAGGAGAGACATTGAGAGGGACAGACTAGCCAATATCAAAACTGTAAATCCTACAGACTTCAGACATAAGAGTAATCAGCCTTTAGGTGAGACAAATGAATGGAAAGAGTCTGCGATCTGGTACCTGACAAGCAATGGCTTAACATCCCAGCTCTACCCACTAACCAGTTGTGAAGTTTTGAGAATGTTGTCTACTCTCTCTGATTCCTAGTTTCTTAGTTGGTAAATGAAGATAATAAAAACCTACTTTCACAGGATTAAATGAGAGAGCATTTGTAAAGTGCTGGCACACACTAGATGTTCAAAAATGTCAGTGCTTTCTCATCCTTCCTCCTCTCCTCCCTAACCAATTCTGATCTGTGTCATTTTTCTAAGGATCCCAGCTCTTCCCTTCTTTTTAAGGCATGTTCTTGGCTGCTTCCCTCAACACCTCCTGCAAAGGGGAATGTTCTATCCTAGGGCATATAAATGGAAGACAGTCATTTCTGGTCAGAGGGGACTTTTCAGGACCCATGTAAACTGCTGCATGGTACATCTTCACTCAAGATACCTCTCAAAATACACTTCTCAGCTTTTTTTTACTTAATGTTATTTGTCCTGGAGAAGAAAGCACCTAGAAACAGCAGGAGCAACAGGACAGGGAAGACTACATGGAGGACCACTCATAAATAAAGCACAATTTGTAAGGCACAAACAAGGGCAAAGGAGCTCTATCTTATCCCGGTCTTCTCTATGTCATGCCTCTTCTGGTTTAAAACTACGAGTAGAAGAGTGTTTCTGCCCCTCCATCTGTCCTTTCATCTTGTCTTCTTCACCCACCTCAGGGGACATCACACATCTCCCCCTGCCACCCAACCTAAGGTTCATTTATATCCAAAGCACTCCAAGGACATTCCAACTTGCAGGAATAGGCTATAACAGGAAAACCTTGAAGACTTAATGCTAAGCGAAATAAGCCAGTCACAAAAGGACAATTACAGTTACACTTATATAAAAATGATTAAGAGGGTAACTTTTATGTTATGTGTTTCACCACAATTAAATTTTTTAAAAAGCCTTCTATGGGAAAGCAGATGGACTACATCGGGCAGGTCTAGGTTGGAGAGAACAGGAGCTGATCTTCTCCCCAGGGAGAAAGCCACAAGCCTGCTCTGCTCCCCCTGCTGCCCAGGGTGGACAAAAACCAAGTGAGCTCAAAATCACACCAGTGACTTTGAGAGGAGTCCACCAACCCAGCTCTGTGTCCTCCCCGCCAAGGGGTAAGGGAAACCTACCTTTGCTGACCACAGCCATGTGCTGGGCATTGCCGCGGGCATTTTCTTCACCAGTTTCTCTTATTAACCCAGTTACAAACAAGGAGGCAGAGACAGGCTCACAGGGCCCTGGTAACTTGTCCAAAGTCATGAGACTCAAACCCAGACCTGCCTTCCAAATTCTGGGTCCTTATATATAACAGATGCTCAGAAAAGTCAAATATCCCATGTTTTCCTTTGAGAGGAAAGGATAAATGAGTACCCTAAAGCCATTAAACCTGACCTGGGGGGAAGAGGACTACACCTTTTTGCCTACAGAATTTCAGAAGGACTCCGGATTTTAGCTCCTACCTTCGTAATTTGTCTAGCCAGTGGCCTCTTACTTCCCCAAGCAAGTGGGTATCAGCCAAAAACATGGCTTTCAGGCCAGATTCACGAGTCTCTTGTTCACTCTCATAGGCTGGAGTTTTCACCTCAGGCCAATTACACCGAAAGATAACTAAGTAATAGATTAAAAATTCACAAAATAGAAGAACAGCAAAGACAACAGCTATGAGTTTCAACAGCAAGTAACTCCTCCTCTTTAACAGATGAAAATTCAGTCTTCCAAACCCAAATCTGATAGCAGCCATTTCTCCAGCTGAGGAGCTACCAGCAACCAAGATTCAGATCCATCAAGAATTCACCATGAGGGAACTAAAATCCTGGGTAAGACACAGACGCTGTTCAGGTCTTAGCCATGTACCTATAGGGAAAAGCGAAAGGATTGGATTATATTTCTTAGTAATGCCATTATCACTAGTTCCCTTCAATTAAGAACTAATGAGATATAGAATTCTATATGCACTCCCAAATGAACAAATTGTCCTCTACTCTTACAATAATACTGTATGTGTGATTACTGATAAGGATAACAACTGGTTATGCCAGAATAATGCTATTAGAATTCCCTCCCACTAAAATGATAAAATTTTCTCACCATTTTGTAAATCATTAAATGAAAATGGATCAGATGGATGCTTTAGGTAGTAGACATGATAGGGAAAGTTAACACATTATTTGAATGTAACTTGATGCCTAAAAGGATTCACCACCACCTCTGGGACCTTAAAAATCAATAGGTCATAAACCCTCTGTAATGTGTTACTGTGGGTTCATTACTTTTCTACACTCTTTTCCACAAAAGTGAATATTCACACACAGTGTCCTTCAGAGATCCAAGAAATACATTCCAATCTCAGCTCTGGGCTCAAAGGCCATGATCTGACAGAGCCATCTCTGAAAATGGCATTCAGGTATTTTGCCATGTATAATTCACACCCACGTTTTTGTGCGCATTATGCAGGGGGTTATTATACCTCTGGTATGCAATCATTATACCCATGTCTGATGAGCATCCTTATTTTTCCCTCAAAAATGTAGGCAAAAAGTGTGTATTATACAGAGCAAAATATGGTATATATTTTCACAACATGGGCTTTTCATCTGCATATTAGCCTTAAAACTCTGGATGGCCTTCTGTAGTAAGATATATATGAGCAGTGGCATCTCTATGGGAAGCTTTAAAATGTTTATGGATTCACCTGAGTCATAGATGAACTTTGCATTGTATAAAGAAAGCATGTATTTCTTCCTTTTAATTGAATTTACTGGGGTGACATTGGTTAACAAAATTATACAGGTTTCAGGTGCACAATTCCACAATATATCATCTGTACACTGTAATGTGTGTTCGTCACCCCAATCAAGTCTCTCCATGTCAAGTCTGAAAGCATCAATTTTTGGCACCCCTGAAGAGGATTGCCAGTTAATAAAGGTTAATACAAGGATTGCCTGAGATCGGATATAAGAGGTAACATTCTACTTAAGGTTCCTCAATTAATGCTCAAGGCAAAAATCTTAAAATGAACTGACCTGGCAGCTATGGAACACTCAGCTGTGGGAGCAGCTCCAGAGGTCTTGCAGGACAGGAGACTGGGAGAGACTCTAACCACAGATCCTACCTGAGCCACAAATAAAGGAAATCTTTTTCTGCAAAGATGATTTTCTAAGATGACTCTAGGAACCTTCCTATGGTTGACAAGCAAGGAAGGAGCCAGGGACACTCATTTCTGTAGTGCCTGAAATAATCTCTGTGAAATGCAGTTTTCACAACTGTTCACATTTGCACATAAGCCCTGGCCCCTATAAAGCCCTTCACTTATTTCGTGGTGGTGTTCTATCATAAGTGACCACTATATTTGGAAAAATTTTAAAACCTTACCCAAAGAAAAATAAACAGGGACAAATGTATTTTGGACCATTATCAAAAGTGCAAAACATAACCCCAGAATTGAAAATACCTTCTTATAAAACTGATAAAATGAGGAAACCTCTTTGGGATTACTCAAATGTAGCACTGACAGTTGTTCTGCTGTGCTATGAAGTACTGTACTCACTCCCATCTGTGGCTTTTCAGAACAGATGAAATGATACCATAGGAGTAAAATGAAGGCTCTGGGTGTCAAGTCTTTATCATGCCTCAGTCTGCACTCAAATGGCATTAAACACAGTAAGCACTCTATTAGATTAAAGAGGGAACAGTGCACAAGTGCTAGATGTTAAATATGACCTCTCAGAGAGGTCAGGAACAGCTGTGAATGTAACCTGGGATCACTGCTCTTACTGGAGGTCCAGTTAGCAAATCCACAATGTCTTTATCAACCAGGTCCAGATCATTAGTGATGACATGCCATACCTCATGCTCTCTACTTAGAACCGCCTCACCACCTCTGTTGTCTCTAAGGTTGAACCACACGTGCCACATAACTGGAGTCAACATATACTTTATCTTCCAAATGGGGATGTCTTTGAGAGTGAAAAGTGGCACTAACACAAATAAAAACTGACCTATGGTATAAATTAGGACTGTCCCAGGCAACTCATGATGTGTAGGCATCCTGTGGATCATCCTATCCTATAAAGCTTGTATTCAATGTTGCAGACTAGGAGAAAGTCATCCATCTATATGCAATGAAACTTTAGAATCATTGAACAAATGTGAATAACATTCTCCAGTGTGTCTAAGGCCATAGATTCTCTATTTCACTGATATTCATAAAAGACAGAAGAGAGACTCTATAATAATGAGAATATCCTTTAAGACCATCTAATTTCCCTTGTTATTCAATAAAATATATGAAAAGTGATCATTTGATCTTACTATTTTTCTTTCAGAAGGCCTAAAAATCTCCTAAATCATAAAAGCTGAGGCTAAAGCAGCAGCTGAAACATACTAAAACTTTAATGTTTTCCTAGACCACAGAGAATGAGTTGAGAGGGAACCCCAATCTTCTGGTGTTGGGTGTTGAATTCTTCTAGTATGCAAGACTTGGCTCTACGTTTCCCAAGATGAAAACCAGAATGACAGCTTTATAATTGTTCTTCTACACCCACATCTTCAATCAGAGAGAACTGTGTTTCAGGAGTGATGACTAAGATCAGGAAAGAGAGACGAGTGGTCTGGAAACCAGAAAGGCGATGCCGCCTTCCCAAGTGCAGCCCACACAGTGGGATTCAGGGACAAGAGAGAACACAAAACTTCAGTCCTCAAGATTCCCTGGACCAAAAAGTGCAGGACAGATGACACGAAGAAGCAAGCCATGGGTTTGCACTCACAGGCCACACAGCTCCCCGTGACCTGATTCCCATGCACACTTGATCCTGCAGAGCCCTCTCAGCTGGGCCCACTGCCTCCAGGCTACTGCTGCCAGGGTGACTCATTTGTCAGCCTAGATAAGGAGGGCACTGCGCAAAGAACCAAAGGTTAGGAGAGCCCTGGCCCTTCTCTCAAACTCCTTACTTTTCTTTCCACAGAGAAATAAAAATTATCTGAGGGGAAAGGAAAGAGGAAGAATGAGAGCAAGCAAGCTACCTGTTGTTGTTACTAACTTTCTTGAGAAAACCCTAATACTATGTGAATCATCTATGGTATAATGTGATTATCTTTAAAAAAAAGGAACTTGTCTTCAGAGTGAAAACCATATTTGAAATTTCTGGCATCAAATCCTTAAACAGAATTCCTTATATTCAAGTCTTGGAAAACTACTTCTTTTCCTCTATCCAAAACTCATTGTATGACTCATCAAACCAGTATTCCCAATATTGCCTTCAATGTTAAGGCCAAAGCATATCATCCCCTTTTATTCTGAAATGCAGAGTAGTTTTCAGGACAGATGAGGGTGGGGGAAGGAGCCCATTCTCTCCCTGGAAATGGCACTGCAGGGCTACCGTGGCAGGCACCATTCAAAGTCAGACATCACTCAGGAAGATAGCACTCCTACCTGATGGTTGCTTCCAAATGGGTATAAACTGATCTTCTACTTGTGCTTACCCTTAAGCCAGCCTCAGGCACAGAACTGTTTCCTCACTTTCGGACACAGCTAAAGGAAACCTGCTGGACACCAGCAGTTAAGAGCACTGAAGGCTTTCCCATGCAGAAAAATGGAAAACCTCAGAGAAGCTGCTTGCTCCTCTTTCAGAATTTTATCCTGTGTCAGAGAAAATCTGAGAGAGAGAGAGAATCTATGTTGAATCTATGAGAATCTATGAGAATCTATGTTGAATGGAAAAGGACCCAACCTGCAGCTCTGCTCTATAACCTTGGGCAAGCCACGGACTCTTTCTGAGCCGCAAAAATGAGGACCACAGTGCCTACTTCGGATGATGTTGTGCAGATGGGTAGAAATGATGTTCATGAAAGTACGTTAGCCCTTGCCAGGCAGCTCAATTGGTTAGAGTTTTGTCCCAATATACCAAGGTTGTGGGTTTGATCCCTGGTCAGGACACATACAAGAAGGAACAAAAGAATGCATAAATAAATGGAACAATGAAGTGATGTTTCTCTTCCTCTCTCTCTCTCCCCCGCCCCACCCCTTCCTCTCTCTAAAATCAATAATTTTTTTTTTAATGGAAGTGTTTTTAAAAAGTAAATCTACCTATGAGGCAGCTATGTCAGGATTAGATTACAGAATAAACCTTACAATCTGAAGAATTCCAACAGGCTCAATACAATAATTCAAATAGCTAAAATGAGGATAGGGGGAATGAAGACCAGCAGAGAACAAAGGCCAATAATTGGAGGAAATCTAGAAGCTGTGGCCACCTTGGGCCGAGCCTGGTTTTCTCCATTCATTTACTGAGATGCACTTTCTAACACTTCACATCTGAAGTCCCATACCCTTTCCTCACTAAAAGTAAACCTTAAATTTTATCTCAATCATAATAAATAGGTCAATGGTTTAAAATCACCACAGCCACACAACCTAAATAACTAAATGCTACTATTATCCTTTCCATGCCCAGGCTCGTACAAGCTAATGGAAAGAAAATGTGTTACCCTAAACTAAATGAAAGGAGGGTCTGGTCCTTCATCAGAGCAGCGTGGCTACTACACCCAGGCCCAGTGCAACCACTTCTCCCTGCCTCATCAATAAGTACAGGGGAGAGAAATGTGTTTATTCATCTTGTATCACTGGACTATAAAACCAGGAAATGGGAGGTTTGAATAAAAACAATATTCTGTATGTTGCTTTCTTGTAAGTGATGGATAATTCTGTCCACATTAGAAACTTTCCTTTGCACAAGCAGGTTTGAGTTCAAAAAGCAAAATTACTAAAACGTTATTGTTTCCACTCCCCAAATTCAATCTGCCAGTATTAGTAAACTCATCAAATGATAACCCATCAGGAAAACTACAGAGGCCTCCCAACCACAGTTCGGTCTGGTCTAGAACCAAAAGGCAGACACGCGCCTCTCATGACCCCTCCTGATCTGTCAGTAAGGAAACCAGATTCAGTGTTAAAGGTCCTGAAAGTCCCTGGTAAGAACTAAAGTGCTGCATGTGCGGTATTTTGATTTCTACTCCATTACACTTCTTATTCCTAATATCACAGATGGCGGCTCTAAAAAAAAACAGCCCAGGCCCTGGCTGGTGTGGCTGAGGATTGGGCATTGTGCAGCAAACCGCAGGTCTCTGCTTTGATTCCCAGTCAGGGCACATGCCTGGGTTGCGGGCCAGGGCCCTGGCTGGGGCCCTGTGAGAGGCAGCTGATGGATGTTTCTCTTGTACACTGATGTTTTGCTCCCTTTCTTTCTCCTTCCCTTCCCCTCTCTCTAAAAATAAGTAAATAAAATTAAAAAAAAAAAAAAAAAAAACCTATCCTAGAATTTTTCTGGAAGCTAAAATTGACCCATCACTAGTTTATAAAATTAGTTTGGTGGTTTGTGACCAGAATTTTAAAAACTACAACAAAACAGAATACTAACCTACACTACACATAGTAAAGGCAAGACATAGCGAAGTTTATTTCACAAAACTGTGTGTACTGGTTATGATGTACAATGCATATCTTATTGCACTAGGCTCTAAGCTCCCTTAGACAGGGAGTTTGCCTTGTTCACCTTCATATCCCTCCTTCTTTCTGGTACCTGCAATCAACAGGTGCTCAGTAAATGTCTGTGGCATTAATGGCTTCCATTTAGACTTCCGTCCCCAAACATTTTACAGCTATACATATTATTACTCTTTTGGTCCGTCATCTGCTTTTATTTTTAAAGATCTTATTTATTTATTTTTAGAGAGGAGAAGGAAGAAAGCGAGGGAGAGAAACATCAATGTGTGGTTGCCCCTTGCTGGCCACACCCCCAAACCAGGCACATGCCCTAGACTGGGAATCAAACCGGCAACCCTTTGGTTCGCAAGCTGGCACTCAATCCACTTACACCAGCCAGGGCCACCATCTGCTTTTAAATGCTTAACAGCCTACATCACAGGAAGAAAATATAGAAGTTGTTCCTTTATCCTTTGAAGAAAGGGCCAGGCAGAAATTTAAAGACTGGCAAAGAAGTACACAGAACAAACATCTCATCAGCCCTGTATTGAGCTCTTACAAACAAAACACTTGAATAGCTCTCTGGTGAATAGGGAAGTAATGACAATCTTCCCTAAGCCTCTTTGGAGAAAACAGCTGAAAAGGGAAGTACACAGAAATACCTGGTAGCTCCTAGATCCTCCCCTAGACCCCAGGCTTTGTAATACAGGCAGCTGCAGAAGTCTCTGTCCCAGCTATGTTATTTTCCAGTGTGTGATCTCAGGCAAATCACTAAAATAAAGGGCGGGGGGGGGGGGGGGGCCGGAGAGACAGGACAGGGTGCTTATAAACAACAAGAAAAAAGGAAAAATACAGAATAAACCAAGTGTTGGCAAAAATATAGGGAAACTGGAACTCTTGTGCACTGCTGGTAGGAAAAACAGTATGGTGTTTCCTCAAAAAACTAAAAATAGAATTATCCTATGATCAAGCGGTTTCACTTCTAGATATATACTCAATTGAAATCAGGGACTGAAACAGATATTTGTACACCTATGTTCACAGCAGCATTATTCACAATAGCTAAAAGGTGGGAAAAAAACAAATACCTGTCAATGAATAAGTGGAAAAATAAAATGTGTGTGTGTGTATGTGTATATATATATAAAAATTCAGCCCTTTAGAAAGTAAAAAAAAAAATTTTTGACACATGCTACAGCATGAATGAAGCTTGAGGACACATGCTTAATGAAATAAGCTAGTCACAAAAAAAATACTGTATGATCCCATTTATGAGTTACCTAGGGTACTCAAATTCATAGAAAGAGAGTGGAATGGCAGTTGCCAGGAGCTGGGGAAGGGAAAATAGGGGATTGTAGTTTCATATGCATAGAGTTTCAGTTTCATAAGACAAAAAAGCTCTAGGGATTAGTTGGGAAACAATGTGAATAGACTCAACTCTAAACTATACACTTAAAAGTGAATAAATGGTTCAAGGGAATGAGAAGACTAGCCCCAGACTAGGAGAAAATATTTGCAAAAGACATATCTGATAAACAATTGTTATCCAACATATACAAAGAAACCTTAAACCACAATAAGAAAACTGCTCCAAAAATGCCATTAGAAATTGGCAAGACGGTAAATTTTATGTGTATTTACCATATTTTCTTAATTTATAAGTTATGAAATTCTAATACATATTACAGAATGGATGAATCTTGAGGACATTATGCTAATTGAAATATGCCAGTCACAGGATGACAAATGCTATGATGACTGCATTTATTGAGAAACCTAGAGTAGTCAAATTCCTAGAGACAGAAGTAGAACAGTGGGTACCAGCGGCTGGAGGAGGAGGGATGGGGAGTTATTATTTAATGGATATGGAGTTTCAGTTTGCGAAGATGAAAAAGTTCTGGAAAAGGATACTGGTGATAGTTGTAGAACAATGTGAACGTACTTAATGCAACTGAACTGTACACTTTAAAATGGTTAGAATGGTAAATTTTATGTTATGTAGGTTTTGCCACAACTTTTTTTTTAAAAAGAACATAAACACACATAGAACCCTACAAGATAACAATATCCCATAACAAGGGCTTTCTCTCAGAGTTAAATCCATTACTTATAAATTTTGTTTTCAAAAGTCTTAGGAGCCTTATGTTTAGGGGTATATCACTGAGTCACCTTCTCTCTTTCTAAGGAACATAACTAGTAGATAAGACTGTATTAAATATAAAAGCTGTAAGATGGCTTATGTTGCCCCAAATCGGAGCACCTTTACCTTAAATAAAACAGAAAATGTGAGTTTGTTGCTGAATAATCTTTGACTCAGCTGTTACTGAAGTGGAAAATGCATCACTTCTTAAAAGGCACATGGCTGCTGCTCTGTGGCACACAGATAAGGAGTCTGACCAATAATAAAGCTAAAAAAAAAGAAAAAGCTGAGAACCACATAGCTAAAGAAAAATGACCTTATGCTGTTGTTCAAGAATGGGCCTTTTAAGTTATAGTATAAAATATATATACAAGGTGCATATACAGCATTGTTCTATATTGCCCAACACATAAGTATAGTAGCTGCAATCCATAATAGGGAGCAAAATAATTTATCCATTGACTAATTTTTATCTTAAAAGTTTTAGAATATCTAAATTCCCTCTCCCCAAAAAAAAGCATTAAAAAATGTTTACTACGCACCGACCTGTAATTTTTTTCTCTTACTTGCTCATTATCTTAAATATATTATTACCACAATGTTGTCAATGGCTATTCGTGGTTAAAATTTTCATCTTAAATGGTATTTTAAAATAAATTTTTTTCAATCTACATCAGTAAACTAGGAAGTGAGAAACTCCTACGATTTAATAACATGGGTCTTACTTAAGTGATAGTGACTTTCTACCAAATAAATAATCTCCGAAATACTGTTTTTTTTCAATAGGTTAACTTGTGACCTTAAAAGAGCATGGTGTTACCAGTTTTCAGTGACACGAAATATCAACTAACCTGGAAGTAAAAAATATTATAAGGATCACAACGATAACTGTAAAACCCTACTTGCTCTGGGTGCTCAGCACGGCACAGGGCAGATCCCAAAGCAAAGCGCCCCCGGCGAGGGCCCCAACATTTCCCGGGTCCTCTGAGCGACGCCAGGTAGCCTCGCAGCTTCCTGTTTCCGCATTGGCTGGCTCGGCTTGCGGCCCTGGAACCCCGCCCCGCGACGTAAAGCCAGTCGGAAAAACCAGGAATCGGGGAGAAAGGCGGAGCGTGCGGGAGGAAAAGTCAGTTGGGCACGGAAAAGGCCATTAGGACGAGAGACCGCCTCTGTCCAGGCCACAGGAGGTGACATGGGCTTACCGTGTGCTTGGTTCCCGGCCTCCTGGCAAGGCAAGTGGGGCGCAGCCTGAGTAATTGCTTTTTTTTTATTTTGTATTTTTTTCTATTACCATTTAGACCTCTTACGACCTCCTACCCCCAGCCATCACCACTCTGTAGTCCATGTCTTTGAGCCCTTTATCCTTTTTGATCAATCCCTCCACCCCCTCACCGCCCCACCCCAACTAGTAATTGCTGCTTTAATGCACGACCTCCGCCAGCCCGGAGCTCCGGGCGGGAGAGGCTGGCTTCCGCCCTCCCCCTGGCCGAGCTGCAGCGCGTTCTAGGCGCTCCCCGCAGAGCTACAGTGAGTGGCTCAGCGTCCGCCCCAGGACCGCCCTCAGGACCGCCCTCAGGACCGCCCTCAGGACCGCCCTCAGGACCGCCCCCAGGACCGCCCCCAGGACCGCCCCCAGGGCCGCCGGGGCTCGAAGCGCACCTGGCGAAGGGTGAGCGAGTCCGCAGGAAGCAGCCGGCTCCGGAAAGCGAGCTGCTCTGGCCTCTCTGAAGCGTTGTCCTTGGAGCTGATATCCTGCTCCCTTTGCCTTCTGCCCTCTAGATCACGCTCCTGGAGGACTAACACATGAAGTGCTTTCAAGAAAATTGTGATGAATAAATGAGACGATGGTCAGAGTGACTAGTTATTATGGGTTTTCTTTTTCTTTTAACTCATGTTGGTAATGTTACAGCTGTAGCATCACGTGATCGACTTTTCGAAGTCCTTTCCATTATCTCAATCAAAAAAACCCTGTAAATCAACAGGAATCATTATCACGTGTTACAAGAAATAAACAAAATCAGAGCAATAATTCACACAAAGTTCCAACCAACCAACTATGGTTTTTGCAAATCTATGAGTATAGTTAATTTACTGAGGTGTAATATGAAAAAACCATATCGAAAGCAACCAGTTAAACGTCTGGTAAATGGTAAGTAAGCAGTAAATGTTTATTTTATTATTATTATTATTATGTGGGAATATTGTAATATTTTGAAATATGTCCAGGTGATCAAGTTTAACACCAACACTGGGAAAACCAGACTCTATATGCACACTGACAGGCAGTAGGAAGTATGCAGCATCACTTCTGAAGTACTCTCACAAACTTAAAAAAAAGAAAAGAAATGTAAATCCATTTAAACCTATAATTAACTACAAGCTTAAGAAAATGTAGGAACCAAATAACATGTTATATTACTCCACCAAGGAAGCAATCAGCCAAATCCAGAACGTGGGAAATTCTACCAACCAAATAACCCAATTTCTTTTTTTCAACAAATAAATAGCATCAGAAACAAAAGGAGGAGGATGGAAGGGAGATCTGTTATAATGCAGGCTGGAGAAACAGTCATATTAACAGCAGTTTGTGGGCCTTGTCTGGGTCATAACTAAGACAAACTAGCTTTTTTTTTTTAACCTTTTTTAAAAGATTGGGAAACTTGGACATGGAATAGATACTAGACACTAAAGAATGGTGATTGTGCTATAAAAATGAGATTGTGGCCATGGGTTTCTTTTTTTTAAGATTAGAGAAATATACGAAAAGTATTTACAGGCAAATTATATGATCTCTGGAATAAGCTTTAATACTCCAGAAAAAAAGTAAGGAAGTAGAGGAAGAAACAATACTGACAAAATGTTGATAATGTTGAAGCAAAAAGTTGGGTACATGGCATAGTGGTTTACAGAATAATGGCCCCCCAAAGATGTCCATGTCCTAATCTCTGGATCTGTGAATAGATTACCTTAAATAGACAAAAGGGACTTTGCAGATGTGGTTAAGGTTCAGGACTATTGAGATGAAGAAATTATTCTGGATTACCCCAGTGGATCCAATTTAATCATTGGGATTCTCACATGTTGAGAATCTTTCCCAGCTGTAACAGAGTCAGAGGAAGATAAAACAACAGAAGGATGGCATCTTAGTTTATTCAGTCTCTCTAAGAAAAACACTACAGACTGAGTGACTTATAAACTATAGAAATTGCTTGAAGTTGTGGAGGCTGGACGTGCAAGATCAGAATGCCAGCAGGGGTGCCTTCTGGTAAGTGCCCTCTTCCTGTTACGCAGCCAGGGTCTTCTCACTCTGTCCTTACAGGGTAGAAGGGAGAGGGGCCCTTGTGGGTTCTCTTTCATGAGAGTTAATTTCATTCCTGAGGGCTCCACTCAACAATTTAAGCACTTCCCAAAGGTGCCACCTCCAAATACCATAACTTCCAGCATTAGGATTTTAACATGAACTTTGAAGGGACATAAATATTCAGTCCACAGAGAGATGCAATCTCACAGGACTTCATCATTATTCTGACTTTGAAGGTGAAGAAAGAGGGCACAAGCCAAGGAATGTGGGCAGGTGGGCCCTAGCAAGCAAGAAAATGGATTCTCTTATAGAACCACCTTGACTTTAGCTCAGTGAAACCCAAGTCTGACTATTGACCTACAGAACAGTAAGATACATTTGTATTCTTTTAAGTCAATGAATTGGTAGTAATCTGTTACAATAGCAATGAAAAAAACAATGTTACATTTCTCTCTACCTTTGTACATAATTAAAATTTTTTGTAATGTTTGTTAAGTCTATAAAATATAAACCCACCTAGGAAACACATTAAAGTACTTCATTTATACCTAAAACATTTTCATTTGAAAAAAAATTATATATGATTCCCTTTTTAAATGTATTAAGACCATAATTCATAAAAACACACTTACAATATTCAAAACCACAGATAGAACATGATGCAACTTATTCTTTAGAATTGACTTATTTAAGCTAATTTCTATCAAAATTTTTATACTGAGATGGCTTCAAGAATTAAGCATTTACTAAAGTTCCTTTCCTACTAACAGTAATTTCAAGAAATAGATAAAACAATGAGTAAACAAAATTTATAAAACAGAATTTTAATACAAAATTCTCCCAAAATATGTAAAGGTAGTTTTGATTAAAATAATACTCAAAATGGAGGAAAAAATGAAAGCTATGCAAAGTGGAATAAAGAAAGATACACAGGGAACCAACAGTAAAGGGAAGGAAACCGGGACTCAAATCAACGCTTTGGAGCAGAAGGAAGAGATAAACATTCAAACAGACTAGAGTGGAGAAACAAGAACTCAAAAAAAATGAGGAGAGGCTTAGGAACCTCTGGGACAACTTTAAACGTTCCAAGATCCAAATCCTAGGGGTGCCAGAAGGAGCAGAGAAAGAACAAGAAGTTGAAAATCTGGCAAAGGAAATAGACTTCCGGGTGATCCAGGATGCTCAGAGAGTCCCAAAGAAGTTGGACCCAAGGAAGCACACACCAAGGCACATCATAATTGCCTTTCCCAAGATTAAAGATAAGGAGAGAATCTTAAAAGCAGCAAGAGAAAAGGAGACAGTTACCTACAAAGGACTTCCCATAAGACAATCAGCTGATTTCTCAAAAGAAACCTTTCAGGCAAGAAGGAGCTGGAAAAAAGTACTCAAAGTCATGAAAGGCAAGGACCTACATCCAAGATTACCCTATCCAGCAAAACTATCATTTAGAGTGGAAGGACAGACAAAGTGCTTCCCAGATAAGGTCAAGTTAAAGGAGTTCCTCATCACCAAGCAAGCCCTTATTATATGAAATGTTGAAGGGACTTATCTAAGAAAGAGAAAATCAAAACTATGAATAGTAAAATGACAATAAATTCAAAACTATCAACAACTGAACCTAAAAAACAAAACAAACCAGAAACAAAAAGTAAGCTAACAACAAGAACAGGAACTGAATCACAGAAATGGAGATCACGTGGAGAGCTTTCAGTGGGGAGGGGGAGGAGGGAGAATGGGGGAAAAGTATAGGGAATAAGAAGCATAAATGGTATGTACAATATAGACAGGGGGAGGTTAAGAATAGTATAGGAAATGGAGACGCCAAAGAACTTCTATGTGTGACTCATGGACATGAACTAAGGGGGCGGGGGGAATGCTGGTGGAAGGGGGGGTGCAGGCAGAGGGGGATAAAGTAGAGTAGAAAAATGGCACAGCTGTAATAGCATAATCAATAAAATATACTTAAGAAAAAAAGAAAGTCCATATTTTCAACTAATAGTTGATTTTTAAGCTAACTTTAATTCTACAGAACTCATTTAAGTCATTGGTTTCATCCATAACACTTTAAGTTTCTTATTTTACTACAGCGTCTTACATAGTCTTTTTCTGTAGGAGCAGCTACACTGTATAACATTGTGGTAGTTTAAATTTCCCTGTTGTCTCATATAACAAATGCCAGCTTACACTAAGGAAGACTTGAAACTCCCCCTTTTTATATTTAAACTGGTGTGTGAGAACCTTAGAGACAGAGTTGAGGGGCTTACATTTTAACCATATTTACCCAATAAAAAATAGAAAACTATTTACCTGAATTCTATTAATGTGCACATTGGAGAAAAGTGAAAGGAAGCAGAGAGCTTCCTGAGTATCCAGCTTTTTGCTTTCTTAGCTTCATTCACTCATGCAAGAGACAGGCATTGAGCCTTTTTGTCTTCCTAGCTACTAAGTGATCTTATCTATGTGATGTTTTCAAAGGTCATCCCAGGGACTGGGCTGTGAGTCAGAGACGAAGCTGGGAAAAGGGAGAGTAGGAATCTTGAAATTTATAACAAGGACTTTTGTGAAGATTTGATATATTAGCTTCCTATTGGTGTGTAACAAAGTACCACAAATTTAGTCACTTCATGACAAATCTGCATTTATTTTCTCACAGCTCACATGGGTCAGGAGTCAGGCTAAGCCACGCCCGCTGCTCAGGGTTTCAGGCTGCAATCCATGCAGAGCCTGGATAAATTCTTACCTGGAGGATCAAAATCCTCTTCTAGCTCACTGGTTGTTGGCATAATTCAGCTCCTGTGGTTGAAGGACTGAAGGCCTCAGCTCCCAGGGGCCTCCTGCTGCACCCTGCCACTTGGCCCTCACTGCACGTGGCAGTTGCTTCTTCAAGGCTGATAGGAGAGCATCTGCTGCTGCTGCTTCAAACCTCTCTGACTTCTGTTTCTTCTCCAGATCCTTTTTAAAAATTCATCCAATAAATTGGCCCACCTAAAATAATCTCTCATTTGATTAACTTTATGTCATTAGGGACCTTAATTACCTTTACAATATTTCTTTACTTTTCCCATATCCCATTGAACTCAT